CCAGGAGGCTGGAAACCTGAGAATGTTTGGTCAGCTGTGAAAAAGGTAAGTATAGATTCTTGTATAGATTTTAGTTGCTTTGGACATTCAGGACTGATAATTGAATTGTTTTTGTGTTAGGTTGACAAACCTATCCAATTGATATCTTCAAGCGGACCTTGACGTGACCAATTCAAACTGATCATGGGTGGAGGTTAAGGAATAATTGCAGGTAGCTGTCATCGATGGAATGGTAAGCATGAGGCACGCAAACGTGCATGCAATGGTCAAAAAGCAAGTTTTTATACTTTCATATGCCTTGTTGTGATATTGTGCTAATCAGAACCTCATCATCAGGCCATCAACCAGATGATTGCCGAAGATTCTGAAGGACTCTACTATGGCAAAGTTCATATAACTGCCACCGATTGGGCATTGTTCAAGGCATTGAACGATGTTACCGAGGTAAGTTGATGAATTTTTACTTAGCTATTCGGAGTCACTATCTGACATTAAGATCTATTCATTGTACCAGATATTTTTACAAGGAACCCTGCGTGTTGGAGGGGATAAGCCAACTGCAGGTATTATCCTTCTGGAGTACCAGCTCATCAAAGAGTTGCTTATGGCCAAATCAGAAAGCTCTCATTACAAGAGCATTCAAAAAATGATTGGTGTGATGATCAAGAAGCTTGATGGTTACCAAAAAGAAGCGGTCAAGTCAGATGCAGTTGTTTTGGCAACTGTGCTGAACCCTTCTTTACGTCTTGGCTTTTTCACTACATATTTTCCAGACAAAGTTGAGCATGTGAAGCAATTGTGTCAAACCGTATTCGATTGTGTCAACTCTGAGGTCAACGCCAACAAGCAACCACAGCCCAAGGCTCCAATCCAGCTGAACACATCTTCTAACCCTTACAATTCTTCCAATTTCAACCCAAAACCAGCTGCACAACAGAATACGGACAAAACCAAAATTCAAAGGTATTTGGATTGGGATATCAATGGGCCCGGCGAGAATCTATCAATGTTAGAGTGGTGGAAGGTAAGTCACTCATGTTATTTTAATTATTAAAAACCCTTTTCAAGAAATCACACTCAACAATTCTTATATTTAGGAATACTGCAAAATCTACCCAGTCATTGGCAGGATGGCTCAAGATTACTTGGGGTGCTCTGGTACTTCTTGCACAGTAGAGCGTACTTTCTCTTCTGCAGCAGATATCTGCACTACCAATCGTGGCGGCCTTGGAACCAAGACAATGGAGCGGGCTGTTGGATGCCGGCTCTGGTTGAGATCAGGTGTGATACCCACAGGCAAATTTCAGGAGGCCTTTTTACTCATTGATCTGGATGGTAGCAAGACTAAACATAAATTTAAATCTAAGCGTTAAGGCCATTGTAAATTTGTTGTTTTCTTTTTCTGTTAGTTCTTTGTTTTGCTTTCATTTCTCACTCTTTATAGCAATACATGCAATACACAACAATATATTGGAGTGGAGTGCTTTATAGCGCTATGATAATGCTCCTAGCACTATATCAGAGCGCTGGGTAGTGATAAGGTGCTCCAATATCCCTGGGCCAAAAAAATCAAAATAGATAGTGTAGTGTAGCGCTTGAGAATTTAGTGGACCTGCACTACACTATCAAAAATTGGGAATATAGCCGAGCGTCTCGGTGTAGCGGGATCCTCCCTGAGGTGAAACATCTCGTAGTGGATGATCTGAGCGCTAAAATGACATGACAACATGCAAACAACTTCTCTGGCACACAAGGATTTATTGACATGTCGGGGAGTATTCACTATCCCCACCACAAGCTGGCCTAACGCCGGCTATCTCGTGACCATGGGCATTGTAGCAACCGATGTGTGTACCGTGACATTGAATATCCCCTTGTGAACAGCTCGGTATCGATGTACACTGCGCGCGCGCGCCGCCGCCGTTGCAGCATATTGGGTTGCCTTGCCCTGAGACAGCAAAGGCCAGCGCAAGTAGGAGGACGACAGATTTCACGAGCTAGATTGTTTGAAAGTTATCAAATTGTTCAGCTAAATCTTCATCAGCTCCGTAAATCAAAAGATATTCACCATTTTCAAGATCGGATCTCTGGGATATGGTCTTAAGGTCTTTGAGCAGGCTTTATAAGGAGTTTTGTGGATCGTTTAATAGTTCTGCATAACACAAATGGATCAGCATAAAATGTTAAGAAAGATGAGAATGTAGCCGAGAAGAAAATAACTTTGTTGAGAGAATTCTTGGAGAAAGCTGGTCCAAATGATGAGATCTACGGTGTCCTCTGAGGATAGGAAATAGTAGAGAGTGATACCTTTGTGAGGCCACAAAAGCAATTCCGGTATTTATACACCGATGTCCCCCATCTAACGCACACTCCGAAGGTCTTAGAGAAGGGAGTTTGTTGAGTTAGACCCTGACACTGTTACTGTAGGCCCTAATTCACTCGCGCCAGGGCCAGCTCTCAGTGCTAGTTGGTCGCATGGCTCATCTCTGCCATGCGGTATGATCAAATTGGATATATGTACAAGTTGCTCGAATATTTCCGAATCCTAATCAGCCATGGCTGGAACGATATCAAAGCTTATCAAAGCGAATGAAAAAAATCTAAAAAAAACCGGTAGAATGTTTAGTACCCTTGTTCTTGCTTGAACTCCTGAGACCTTCATCGCCGCATCAAGGCTTTGTTTGGTCAAACTTCACAAAGTTCCTCGGTAGGTTGGACTCGAGCATCCAACCTCCAGTGAGCTCCAATTAGACATCGGTATAAAACGACGAGAGGCGTCGTCTGGCGAGGTCTGGCGCCTTTTGGTCCACATAAAGTACTGTATGAGGTTTGATGGAATAAATGTTTCCAATTTTTTACGAAGTCAACAAAGACGACAAAAACACCAACACAGTCATCCATGTGTATGCTTTTCACTTCTGCTCACACAAAGAAGGTGATAACGTCTGTCAATAGTTCACTAACCTTAACAACTTTCCTGAGCTAAAAAAAGGATGGCCAATAGGCCTTCAAATCCTCTGTTGGCTTGAAAACAGTGGTTCATCATGAATCATCATTCAAGTTAAAGGCGAACCAGCAATTCATACAAAATCGACAAATTCAAACAAAATCCACCAATTGTCCACTCTTTAGCTGAAGAAATCCAAGTTTTGACCAGCCGAAGTTTTGTCCTCGCGATACTTAAATTTGATTTTCTTATTGCATTCCACAACTTACCCTGATACCATCATCCAGACTATCAATTAATTCATCAAATCTACACATTCAAGTAAGATCAGAATTGGCCAGAATCACCCTCTTGAATTACAAATTAATACAATCAATTCGATACAACAAACATCGCAATCTCTAAAACCAAATCACCACCACCACTCAATGAAATTTACTCTCGTTCAATTGACTCCAAGTGTTTCTGATCATCATGCAAGCTAAACCAAGTTAAAGAAGAGCCATGAATCCAAACAGAACCCAAAAACCCTCTGATACAATATTTTCTCAGATATTGAATATCATTTATCTCATCAACCTTTCAAAAACCAACATACCTTATGTACATTAGTAAGTTAATCTGAAATCATGCATCCTTACATCTGAGCTGCCTACGTCGTACGCAGACCATTTGCTTATTCTTCTGCTATTGTATCTTTTGTAGTCATCAAAGATAAGATTATCTCTGGTCGATTGAAGGAAGCGATTGGCCTCATCGATCTCTACTTCCCCGCTGTACTCGGCCCTTCTGCCTCATCAAAACTACACTCGACTTCACTATACACTTCTACAACTGCTTCAACCACCTCAGCCATCAAATTTTTTAAAGCATCGCGTTAAAAGCCTGCCCATGTGATGTTCAAGTTCAGTTAACCAGTCAGTGGGCCTACACCAAAACCACCGCCGATTGACTCAAGGGGACCAATCTACAGCTCTGCGCAATCTCATCCGACCCAGCCGCGTCAAAAAACATCCCGGTCATCAAGTTTCACGGAGCCTGAAGCAGGCTTACTTGCCAGTTGCAACAACCTGTCTTCAGATGCTAAAGAATTTCACAACGTTTCTCATCTTTACATCTTGCCCATATTGCGCTCATTCTACAGATCCAATACTTTGTTGAACAGCAGATTCAGACTAATCACGGTTCGATCACCTATATCTGTGTTGACATCATTGCTTGTATTGAATCGGACTGTGCGTTTGACAACATTATCTTTCAAAGGTACCGGTAAATACAGTTTACGACTTTTGAAATTTGAGCTGGTGTGCCATTCTATGTAGTAAGTATTTCCCAATTCTTTTACCCCTGATCGATGTGGATGGTAACTTCTTTTTTGGTATGGCTGTTTGGTTGAATCATCATTTCAAGTTTAGGTATCTCCTCTCTCTTTTCAATATCTCCTTTCGACTCTAAGTTCTTCTGACTGGCTTGATTCTTAGAAAACTGAACCATAAAATTTGATTTGATGCCAACAATTGAAACTCAATGAGACATTCTATTCAACTCATCAAGACCTTCTTACGATCAAGCTGATTTCAAGGGACTTTTGAGTATATGCTCTTGGTGAGGATAAGACAATCCACTTCACAATTTGAAGTATTCAATAATTTTTGTCAACATAGATTCATTCAGGATCAATTCAAACTATCCAATCAAAAATTTGTTCATTCTCATTCCAACTGTTATCAGAATCGATCTCTTCAGAAAATGAACAACTTTAATCTATTCCATAGTCACACAAATCAGACTCTCAAGCACAATCAATCAACTTCAATTCAATCAGAATCAAAATCAAAATGAAATCATCAACTCATATCACCTTATCCAACAAAACATGAAATGAATTCATTCAAAAAACCTTCCTATATCACAAACCAAACCAAGCTTTAAATCAACTCGAACATCTATCAATCATTATCAAAATCAAGATTATTTATCTTGATAGTCTTAACCACCATTTCGAGTGGTTTATCCAAACCCTAAAACCAATCTATTAAACCAATCCCATTGAATGACAATTCTATCATCAACTGCATTGAGTCTTATTTTATCTTCTGCTTCTGTAAATACATTCAATCAAATCTTAGAATCACCTATGGATGCTAAAACAAATATAACAAGAAATAGACCCATTGTACAAGAATCGATTTCAAAAGGTCATGCGACTACATTTGATATCATTTCAGGTCCTTTTGTAATTGATATCTTATATGTTATTGTGAATCCAATTACATCTTATATTTCTTTTATTAAATTTTTAACTTACGTTTTATACATCTTTAAATGGATTTCAATTATAAATACTTGGATTGGATCTTTATAGTTGGAGCTTTACCTACTTGAATTGGACCAATTTTTGCTGCTGGCCATTTGAATTCATTTAATGTTGCAAACCAATGGGGACCCAAGAGCATAGGAAATGGTTCTAAAGTCAGTCCAGTGTAAAGTATAGCAACTCAAAGTGAATAACTCTGGAGACTAAGTAGAACAGGGGTGAGCACAGCATCATGAGAGGTTGCTTTGATGTCCCTGTTTGACTCAGTTGATTCTCATTTTGACTATCTTAATTGCTCAGCATACAGTCAAGTAATATATATCATTCTCATTTATCATCCTTAATTCATCACTTTTGGGATTTGAGTGAAGAGCTATGTCAAGATAACCGGAGAACATGAGTTTTCCAAATTCAAATTCGACCAACACTCCTGGAAATTGTTCATTTTAAGCTCTCCATCTATGAAGGTGTGTTCAATTTTGTTTTTGCTGAGATATCTTATTGGCTTTCTTATGTCTGCAAAAACTCATTGTAAAGATAACCCTTTTCTTTTTACTCATGAAAGGTTTCTCAATAATTATCCACCCAATATTGGGCCATTTGAATCCATTGTCATTGATCTAACTGTACCTATGGATTTTTCTTTTTCTTGATTCATCAAATTTGACAGCCTGAGCAATAGCAGCATAAGGTCATCATGACACCCTATTGATCCCCATCTGATCAATTTGAAAGGGTCTTTGATAAGGCAAGGCATCTTTGTGTTTCACCAAGTTCTCTTCAATATTTCCGCTTTTTGTTCTCAGGTAATGACTACCAAACCACTCAAAAGATCCTTGATCATTTCAGATCTACACTAATTAGCACTGGTGCTAATTAGTCAATCACCCAAATTCTGCTTGGTTGATTTTTGCCCTTAGTCTTACGTTCATTGATTTGAACACTGGGTTGCAAGTGTTATCTTTTCACTGCTCCAATTCTAGATTGGAAGACTTGCTTGAATTTACTCACCATTTTTCAATCAATTGAATTTCTGATTGAAACCACACATTTGAAATAATTGAATTCAATGAAGTATGAATGTCAATTGTATGGATGCCAAATTAAATGTAAACCATTTAGTTGAGATATATTCTTCAATCTTGATGGACTCTGTCAAAATATATGAAGACCTTCTACATCCTTATCATGTTGAAAAGCAATGTTGTCCAGCCTTTGGGTTATTCAAAACATAGCTGATATCCCCTAGATCAATCAATTACAAAATTATATGTTCATCCAAAATTACAAAGTCCATGATGAAATTATGTTCCTGGGATGGAACAATGTGAAGATGATGCAGCAGATTGATCTGCTATCAGTGCCAACAAAGATGCCTTCGATTGGAAAATCCAAGGTATCCTCAGATGGTAGTGGGCTTAGATGTGGTGTCCAAGAGATTGATCCAAGGCGATCTCTGTGGCCAAAGTATGCCTCAGATCGATTCCTCGGACACACAGTCTGAGGGAAGGTAGATCTGATGTGTCTTTGCTGGCAGTGTATGAACATCAAATATTTTTTCACCCTTGGAGGATGGGGTAGAAGCAAGTGTTGATGCATCTAAATGGAGATCTTTGATCATTCAAACATGATCATTGGATTGTTTGAGGACTTCAAATCTTTTCCAACAATCTGAATCCCAATGGCAGTTTGCTGAGGCCAAGAAATCAGATTGTTTTAGATAGGGAGCTTTGTTGATTTTTTGAAAGATCTTGATTTATAGTGGCAAGAAATGGAGAAATTTACATTCTTTTTTGAATCCAAAAAAATCCAGCTTGATATTTTACTTCAAAGACAAAATTCTTTGTTAATTGGAAAATTGACCTATTAGCAACTGGGAAACATTGATTGTGGACCTGAATCTGTGGTTTCAAGATAGCAATAGATGTTTTTTTGCTTATGACTTTTCTTTGAATATTCAGGCTTACCATTTTTTTTCATGATTATAGGTTGGAAAACACCTTGAATGTGATACATGAAAACAGAAAAATTTCACAAAAAACTTCATTGTTGATGTGAAGAATATTGTGGTAGAACAAAAGTCTTGATGGAAGTGTAGGAAGATCTGAACAGTCATTTGGTAAAGACATAATCAAGAGGAATTGATGTTCTTCCCATAAAAAGGAGCTTGGTGAATTTTGGCTTTCTGTGCGCAATTCATGATGAGGTTAGTTCACATAGTGGGTGATCTAAGTCCTTCTTAGTCTGACAACCTACTATGTTCTTTATTTAAACATGATTATTCTATACTATAATGGTAATTGATTGTCAGATGCCCTTGCACTGACTAGCAAGTGGTAGGAAGAGTTTCAGAACTACTTTTTTTGCAAAGTCACACTGGGCCACAATTTAGGCTTGAGGATGAGTGTGAGTTACATTGTTTGGGGGAATTATGGACAACAAGTGTGGTTATTTGCTCATACCAGGGGCCTTGAAGTGTAGGTGCCAAGTAATTATCAGTGCAGCTCCCAATGCTAAATTGCTATACTGTGCTACAGACTGGCAGGAAAATGATTGCAGTGGTATATTTTGTGGCATTAGGAGAATGAGAGTTGACAGCTACATGCTTGCAATATTGACAAACGTATTGTAAAAAAGTTAGAATACTGAAGATATTTCAAGTTAAAAAAGGATCATATATTCAGAGACAACACAAAACAAGTATCTGTCAATGAGACAAAATGATGCTTGATGTATCATATTGAGGCCATTATGGGGGTTAGGGGTTAGGCTTAGGGGGCTAGACTTAGGGCAATGATATCTTCACCATACTCCAAGGGTATGTGGTATTACCTGATTGATCTTCTCCAAAATCACCATCATTCCTACCAATCCATGATCTTACCACAATTGGATATTTCAAGAAACATGGCCTCAATATCCCACCCTGTCACATTCCTTTCCTGTTGTCTGCTGCCTGCAGCAACAATCTAACAGTTCTCCCTCAAATTGCTCTGACATATTTTTAGTTTCCTTAACTGTGTAATATACTTGGGCTAATGATGTGTTACATACACTCTGCTGCATGTACATTCAAACAACTGCTGACTAAGCCTTCCTGCTTGATTGATCTTTGATGAATCATAGGCTCCAGTTGCCTATGTGGATTGAGTTCAGTGGAGCAGGTGGAGCCCATATTATGACTGCGGCGCCCGCCGCCCAATTTGACTAGTACTATAAATTAATGAACATTACAAACATTACACTAAGCAGCTAAGAAGAAGTATTGAGTGTTACGAGTCTGGTACCCATGTGCAAGTGTCACATACTAGCAGGCAACAAAATCTTTTCAGTCAAGTAAGCTTTTGTCATTGATCAAAGAGGAAATAAAACTGACTCATGACGGGAGGATAACGTTCAGGATGGCATGTATAAGCTATACCTCCGGGGTTTTTACAATCTACAAATTAACCATTCAGTCACCAAGAATAAAGTTCATATCAGACATTTCAATGAGCGTTGGAAGGCTTAAGACTCAGGATACTGACTGAAACTATTGCCTGCCACGAGATCATATGTTGCACATTGTTGAGAACTTGTGCCAGGAACTCCAGATCCTCGCAGGCGGCATGCAGAAATTGGAATCCACTGATGATCTTCCAGTACACATGTAAATGAAAGATGTCCAAAAATGAGCTGTCCGACAAGGAGATGATGATTTACTTCAGATATTACTCACTTTGACACCAGCACCTTGAATAAGGACAGTGATATGTATCAATGCTAGATGATCCAAGATGCTTGCATACTTTTAATGTGAGCAATCAAAAATTAGGTCTCCGTAAGACTGGGTGTGTGCTCGTCGTCGGAGTCATAAGGTCACAAAGACCGAAATAGAATCACGTACCTCCTTTACCACCCGACTTTAGTGAAAATCCTACGTTACATTCGACATTTTGACTAGCTACAGTCGCCACATTTGAACTATAAATCCACAGGGACAACAGTGAAGTTGATATCTTCAAAAAAGATTGTAACATATTCGGCAGAAAACTCGAGGAAGAGCAAGAACCAAGGTGCGTCTGTAACGGGGACGAAAACTACCCACGTTGAGTATTCAGGTTTGTTGTCTAGGGGCGAGCTTTAACGTAGGGAAAGAGGAAAAAAGATAAGACCTGCTAAAGGTCTTAGGTTCAAGCGAGACAGGAAGATGGCAATTCAAAGTATGGGCACGGGTGCGAATACGAGGAGCGAAGTAATGCGACGAGTGAAGTTCAATAACAGGTTTTCAATTTGTACAGTGTAAACACGTAAGAATTGATAACTATGAACCAGAAGTGAAATGCTAACAAGTAAGAAAGATCTGAATGATGATTTTTAAACAAGGTAACAGATGGTCCGCAAGCGGACGATTACCGCATGGAGGGATAGTTCTTCTTATTCATGACTAGGTCTTTGGCGCCCAGCCGCCACATAGCTTGTATCTCGGCTTGTGTCACGTGTTACTTGTTACGATGTCACAGCTACATTCATCACTTGTCTAAGTTATTACCAGATGGTCCCCACCGCGATATTTGTTGTCAGATGTCTTGCTATCGTTTGTATTAATCGCAACAACGCCGTGGATGCAGTCATATATCGCTTGTCTGTGAGTATTGTCTTCGTACTTGACTTCCATGCACAGTTGCACCGCAGAACCAAACGCCGATTCAAGCAAACTTGGCATGATTGCCCGGTTTCGCGATTGAACATTGCATGACGCGCCGGTGTGAATGTGTAGGTTTTACCAATTTCACTACGAGCCACAAAGCTTCACCTCCGCATATCGGCTGAATAAATAGATTCTATCACGCCCATTCGTCGTAACATTTCAATGACCTCTGTAACAATGTCCTCTCAAGTTCCCATGATGATCGGTGCTCTTCATATGACAGGCGTATTCCGTTTAGATAACTTGGTTTGTCGACTTTTCCCACCTAATGATAATCCTTCTGACTCGTTTTTGTGTAGATACCTACTCGTATGGATGCGATAAACCCGCTTCGATATTTCAGTGCGACCATCCTAGTAACCGACGATTCTTTTTTGCCGAAAACTATCTTAATTGCCGACGACATGTTTACCCACGCACTGTCTTCCGGCGTCTTATTTCGCGTCAGCGGGACAGTGCTCAACCGCTTTCATCAGTACCCCCCCGTACTGTTCCCCGACTACTTAACCTTACCGCCAAGCCCCGTCTTGTACCCTCGTGCTCCCGATTTCGCGAACGACATAAACGTCAGGTCTTGGGGCCAAGTAGAATCAGAAACATATCGCGAGGCCTGGCAAAACACGTCGTTGATAGTCAAACATGAGGATTGGGATCCATCCGTGAGCTCTTCTTGTTGGATTGCTCAACCTCAGGTACTAATGCTGCGCTACCATAGGGACTTTGTGTCGGTTCCTTCGTCGCCAAATACCTCTGCGACAAACCATGTCTTCGTGATATCGATGCTCACTCATTGGTTGGTACTAAGGTTCAAATCGACGGTCGCGTTCGTGGCTTTCGCGAGGGACGTGATACCTGTGTCATCACAGTTCGTCTCGTATTGTAAATAGCAATGCACCACGACGCTGACGATCGAGCAGGCCGTCCATATCCGCATTGCAGATGTGTAGCCGTTCGCCCGGTGTGAGGGTAGGGTATTCTTTTAGAGTACTCTAAGCTCACTAATGGAAGATAAGGTGGGTTCTTTTGATTTAAAGTAGTTGTATTTCAAAGATAAGTTTCTAAATACAATGAGAATAAAAACAAAAGCAAGAAAGGAAAAGGGACTAACAGTCTGTTTGGATAAATCCAGACAGACTACAGTTAGATGACTCCTTAAAAAGGAGGTTTGAATTATAATTCATAATTATTATGAAATAAAAGAGCTGGGTCCAAGGCTCTACTTTAATCCTTATGGTAACAGATTAAAGAGTGAGGTGAAGGTCACTAATCTGGTTATTCTAAAGTCACCAACTTGTAGTTGTTCAAAAGGTGCACTAACCTGTGAGTTGATATAGGTCACTAACCTGTAGTTGTTCAAAAGGTGCACTAACCTGTGAGTTGATATAGGTCACTAACCTGTAGTTGTTCAAAAGGTGCACTAACCTGTGAGTTGATGTAGGTCACTAACCTGTGGTTGTTCAAAAGGTAACCAACCTGAAGTTAATTGGAAGGTCACTAACCTGAAAGATTTCTACTTAGGGAAAGTAGAGGACCCAGACAAAGTGAAGAGATTACTACTTACTTTTAGTCAGGAAGCTGATTAAAGTTATGAAGTTATCACTAGTCTTATATTTATAAGACTCTTGATGTTACTTCAATAGAACTTTAATGCTGTTCTTTAAAAGTATGGTGTGATAATTGCTTGGGGGGAAATCTCTGAAGGCTGAGAGAGGAGGAGTTTATATACTCTCCTCTCCAAACCTAACTGTAGTGATATTTGTTTACATCACTACCTTGGTTTAGGGTTTAATTAGTACTATTAGTTATGATTATTACAAACACTACATACTTACATATACATGTTATGTAAATTATGTAGTATAAGCATTTTAACTCTTGACACTGAGTTATGAGGTGAAAATGATGTTTTATTACATATTACATATGATTTTAAGTGTATATGTATATGTAATTAATGTCTGTATATGTTTTATTACATGTTAAATGTGTTTTATAAGCTGTATGTACATGTAATCAAATTTATATGGGAAAGTTCTATATTATAAGTTAGTTTTGGGTACATGTTTATGTACTCAGGGCTGACACCCGGCTACCTCCACGCCCTCCCTACCAACACTACCTTACCACGAAGCATAGATAGTCGTAAGGAAGTCATGTACGTTGACCGTCAATAAATTTTTATTCATTATCATCACAGTGTATTTCTACAATTTTTACATGATATGTGTGAGTAATTCCACATAGGAAGAGGAGCGCGCCAGCGCAGAGCATAACACCCGTGACCCCCATTCCATCACCTCCCAGGACCCTGACTCAATGAATGAGGCTTTGATATCTCATAGTGCATAGCCCATTTACTCCGACGTGGCTGGACTCAAGCCCTGTTGGCGTCTGCTCTGTCTGCGTTTCAGTTCACACTGGACCAATAGAATCTCGGTCACCTGCGAACGCAGAAGCGTCAACATCCGCAAGTCGAAGGATACAGTTGCAACGACTTACTTGAATTTCCCAAGTATTGTCTCTTGATAGAAAACCAGTCACATTGCCACGTAACCCTATGACATTGCCTGCGCACAGTGCATCGCCTGATATGCTTTCTGCGACCTGCGCATTGATCAGCCAATTTGCATGAAACTCCACACGTTCTCCCTGATAATCGCACAAGATATTCAGTCGTATGTTAGGCATTACCAGAGCCACCACAGACTTACACTTGAACCTGTGCACCAGTGTAAAACTTTAATAACTTCGTTGTAGCATCCTTCTTCCGATGCTGAGCGAAGATCCCAGTCGACAATCTGACCAACGCCGTGAGCTGAGACTTTGTTAACCAAGGCGTTGACACGGACTTCTGCTTGATCTATAGCGATAGTGTTGACCACGTCCTCGAAGACCGTAGAAATGCTGTTGCGGCCACCTGCAGCGACCTGGCCCTCAATCCTGTAAGCACGTCCCCGTCGCAAAATTGTTTCGTGCTTCTTTGCCGCGATCATCAATGGGACGCCTTCAGCGTCATCGGCCACGATTATGACATTGGATTCGAAGCACTTGAATACCTCGCTCTCGTCGTGTTCAACCTATAATAGAGTCGTCAGCTCTTTGAATGAGGCATTGAAAAAGACGACGTACATCATGCCTAGTCCAGAAAATGCTACTAAAGCGCAATGGAAACCTTGCCATAGGGTGATATTTCATGATCAGATGTAGGAAAACAATTTAATAGTTGGATTGGTAGTTTGGTTCTGCAGATTCTGTGTATTGGTTGCAGCCTGGAGGTGACAATTGACGAAATTTGTTGGCTACTTTTTTTGGGTGCCCGTGGAGTGGCAGCTACGACATCTTATACGTTGCGAATATTGTGTTCACGTACACTCATACGTTTGTCCAGCTATTTCGTTCGTTGATTATTATCTGCGTCTTGGTTAACCTCGGCTTCGACCAGGCCGGTTGGCCCAATCATTTACAACAATCCAGAGTTACAAATCCAGTTAACCTATTCCGTTGGCACTGCTGAGCTTGCGCGCTGCATGCAGTTAATCTCCAATGCCATACCGTCCTCTTGTAATTTGGTGGCGATGCGCGTCATTTTCCCGTACCTAAGCGCCACTTGCCCAAACAGATAACCGTCACTACGGGCCCATTGACGCCAATACGTCTGCCCTGGCCACAGCAACGCTGGCCTGGGTTGGAATAATACACTTCTCTGCGCTCATCTTCGTGCTTGCCCCCAAGCAGCTGATATGGCAACACCGTCATAATTACTCTGGCTATCTAAAATAACATGTCCGTCATACGTATGACGGTACAAAGACTGTCGGTCGATATGAGCATCTGGGCTGAGGTGACACAGACAAAGAACATGATTGTACATGCATTACAATGGTCTCGTAAGGTAGTAACTCAGAGACATGACCCAATACGATGACAACGACACATCAATAATTAGACAGATAAAAACTCTCTGTGAACGATATTTAAGGCAGACTCGCCCCCGCGCTGCCTCATTGTGACTCGGACGTTTCCAGCAGACGTGCAGCGGGACAAGGCTACGTATAACTGACCGTGTGCAAAGACGTCGTTCAGCAATGATACCATGACACGATTGACACTTTGATCTTGAGCTTTATTGACTGTCATGGCGAACGCTAGTGACACAGGGAATTGGTGTCGATAGAAGGACACTGCCAGCATTAAAGAGATTCCCGGGTGGGAATATGGGTCCCAGGAACCAAATGCCCCATTTGTTACTGCTAAATATCTTCATAAGTATTTCCTCAGTAGCCATGGTGATATATGTAGTCAATCTTTTGGGCTGTTTGTTGCAATTGTAACAAAGTTACAGAACATATTACATGTGAATTTCTCAACCAGATGAGCAGGTAACTGAGCGGAGCTATATGTAGATGACAGCTAAGTATTCACTCAGATGTTTGCACATATGTAACATATACTTTATTGCTCAGATGGCCACTGTGTGATGGCTTCATGACCTATTCTACTCTCAAAAATGTTCCCAGCCTAGTGCTGATTCCCATCAAGGAACCTCTTTAATGCTGGCAGTGGGATAGTGGCATGATATTGTCAGCGGTGTGCAGGGTCTTGATTTTCGGCAGCATAACCATTTTTCCCTTTTGTCGTCCCAAAACGATCCTGCATCGCAAAGCATTAGTACCGCATTTTGTCACAATTAAGCGTGTGCCATTGCATAATCCTTGTGCGAGGTTGAGATTGCGAAGCAACATCAGTGGAACCCCCGGTTTTATCTGGAGGACATTCTTTGGAAATGATGCTATCTCGCACGAGTTGAGGATTTCGGGAGATACCATTTCGTCGTGTTCTTCTTCTGGAATGTTAAAAGCATGGTATTCGCTCTGCTTGCTTGACATGTCGTTAAGAACTTGGTCATTGATCGCATTCACGTCCACGTTCAAGGGCGTTAATATGCATCTGTCGGAATAGAATTCGCCCAACCTCTGCCAGTTCTCTTGCACAACTAACGCGTCAACATTATCGTACTGTTCACGGACAGCCTGTTGATCAAACTCGACATCGGATCGCATGCTTGACACATTGCAGATACCAATGTCAATTAGTCCAAAATCCTCATCTTGCAGCTCGCCGTTCCCAAGGGCGAGTAACCATACACCAAATGCCGCATTAGCTTCGGCTTCTTGGGGCGATTGACTGTCAACGCGTCGCATCCGGAGGTTCACGTGAAGCGCATACTTCTCTATCTTGGGCCACAAGTGCGACATTTTCAAAGACGCATTGGCTTGTTGTGACATTGACGATTGTGGGATGACTGGCATAGTTTGACGAAAATCACGACCAAATAGTACAACCATCCCTCCGAATGGCGCTGTACTACCTCGTAGATCTCGCAAACTCCGGTCGACGCAATGGATGACAGATTTATTTTGCATAGCAATTTCGTCCCAGACCAGCAAAGTGGCCGTCTTAAGTCGTCGTCCAGCTTTATCCATTGGGCTGAAATTACAGGTCGTGAATTCGTCGTTATGGATTGGGACTTTCAATGCAGAGTGTGCGGTCTCTCCTTTTAACAACAACAACGCCGCGACGCCGGAAGACGCGACAGATACGTAGGAAATACCTTCTAGGTTTGCCTTATGGAGTACAGCATTCATGACATACGTCTTGCCAGTACCACCCGGACCGTCAAGATAGAACAAACCTCCCTCTCTCCGGGCGAGGCATTCAGTAACCGCAGTATAAACATTAAGCTGTTCTCGATTAAGTTTCGGTATCGCATCATCAAGATACCTCGCGCTAGCTTCTGTGTCGTCTTCATCGCCCTCTCTCGGCTTGTAAAGAGGCCCAAGATATTGAAGTCGTTCTAAGTCTTCTGCGGGAGTACCTGCGTCATCCAGAGTGATGTCCATTTCGGCTAGACATCGGCGCAGGCGGTGTAATCCGAGCGCTTCAACCGTCTTGACGTCGACTTGCAAATCCGGATTTTCACGTTTGATATCACGTTTGCAGTCATCACGCAAGTCATGCTTATGGGCAAGCCAAAGGGCAAATGGATTTGCGGGCGGGGAATGCTTTAAGAGTAGGGCGAAATAATTCCGGAGTTGCACGCCCGTTTGCCAAGAGGCGGCCTCAGTCATTGAAGCTGCATAATGCTCGTCGCCCAGCAACAGGCCCAGTTCGTGGAAAGCTCGTCGATAAGACGGACATATAACTCCATTGACGGTTCTGATGTCAACGAAGCTCTTAGAGCCGCGCACGTTGGCGAGGAGAAGTCTCAAATAGTAGCGTTCGCCGCAATAGATCGACGCAAAATAGGTGCGAGATATCGTGTTCGTATTGTAGGCTCTGTCTTTCCATCAATTACGCTTGTAGGCTCTGTCTTTCCATCGATTACGCTTGTAGGCTCTGTCTTTCCATCGATTACGCTTCTCGTCCCAAGTGAAATGTGCGGGCATATCACGATATAAAAGGCTTGAGATTGGCACTTTGAATGTACTCGTTACGTGGTTTTCGGCGTTCAATTGGAAAAACTCCGTGAGGGTTGTGCGTCCCGCACGTCCACTTTCCAAATTCTCCTCGAGAGATTCTTCGTCGCGCCATGTAACGGATTGCGCGTCTTCCAAATGCAAAGCGAGTCGCTGTACGGCAGGATATCTACCCAACATTGGGAATTTGAACAAACGCCAGCAAGCTAATTCACAATGTTAGTATTGATCTTGCGTTTTTTGGGCAGCAGGCTTACCTTCTGAAGCGCTAACGTAGCGTCCGTCGACGTGGCCCATGACCTCGTCGGCAGAAGTGAAAGATGTTGCCGACCTGTCGTGACCCTTAGCAATATACGTATAGAGGTATTTGACAGATTTAGTGCTAACTGGAATCTTGACATTGATATGACACTTGAAACGTAGTAGAAGGTAAGGGTTGTAGGGCACAACATCTTGGCTTGTGCAAACATGTCCTTTGTAAGTTATTGTTCGCGCAGAGGCTGGTCGTTTGTATAGTGGGTATGCGTTCTCTAAAACTTGCGTAACTTCTGAGTTCAGACGGGGATAACCGTACTTGCATGAATTGTTTTTCCAACATGGTCGACCTTTGCAGGGTCCGTGTAACATGTGTCTGCCTACTAAGTCGTGTAACATGGGATTTTGTTTCGGGCAAGGGATGTCAGCACTGATTTGCATGTTGATCTTGTCGGCGCTTCGTAGTCTATGCTCCTTGCTCATCATCAGAATCAAATGGGCATGTGGCAATGATCGTTTCTGGAATTCGATTGTGTAGACATAGGCCGAACATTCGCCGAATCGTTTACGTTTTGTCAAGTCGAGCAATAATTCCTGAAACTTCAGATTGAAAACGTGTGCTATTAGGTCCGGCCGATCTTGTGATGTTTCGCCGGGTTTCAACTCCCTCGTTATTTCAGGCCACTGAGGGTTTGTAGTCATGGTAATGAAATAACCTGGTTCACCGAGCTCCTGTCTCAAAGCCATCGCGTCGTGATACAATTCGGTCATTGAGCGCGGTCCTCCAACGAAAGAAGATGGTAGGATTACCGATTTGCTTGGTATCAAATCATTACGACCAAGCGCCTCGACAACGCCGCTATAGATAGCAGCTCGAAGCCTCACTTGGTTGTTGCGAATGTATTGCAGCCGCCAATGCTCGACGCATACGTACATATCAACCATAACTTCTTGAAGCAGCCTACCAGCTGGGAGAATAGCAGAGAACGTATCAGGCCGATCAAACAGTATTCGCGCAAACCATTCGAGGTTTGTGACTTTACCACCGCGGCCTATTTTAACTGACATCAGTATTTAGGTATTCATATTGCACGGTGATAGACTTACGCGTAGAGCCAGGTACACGGTAATTCATATCAAAACCCTTTGTACCAAAAGGTAAGAGAAACGGGTAGCGGAGGGCAAGATAGGTGTAACGCTATCTCCCGACAGCATTACAAAACATATCTCATTACAAGCATAGAGTTAGCCTTATACCCAAACTCAACTTTTCATACTTATTCAAACTGTCGACACGCACGCTCCTGGCTCCTTAGGGAATCTAAACTAATGTTTTGATTATCATCCTTTTGGAGCTAGGTGAGTCTTTCATTATTTCTTCTTATAAAACTATCTCTTATTATATTTCTTTCATATACTCAGATGTAATCCCTTAGAGGGAATCTAAACTAATGTTTTGATTATCATCCTTTTGGAGCTAGGAATTTAAAGTACACATTAGTTCTAGAAAAACTTCCCTCAGCTCTCTATTTTGAGCTTCCCGTCCCGTTCGTTGAAAGATCATTTCCCCGCAGTGAGGATAACTATAGATCCTTTACACTTTTTTTTTCTCGAACTATACCCGCATATCGACCGTTTTTTCATTCAAAAGATTCACATTCAACAACCCGGATCTGCAGGATTTTCACCGAATCTGCAAGATTACAAACCTTGTTCATAGTTCATACTGTTTATGAGCTCACCACCCGAATCCCGCTCAACTCGAAGCTTGAATCGAACACTCCTAGATAGAGTGGACGACCCGGAATCTATCATCCGGCAACAGAGTTCTTCGACGCAATACCAACGACGATCTGTTGAGGAGGCTGACCGTTATACGGTGGATGAGGTACTCTTTGCGAACCTTCCACACTCCCGTTCTACCCCCACTCCAGCTACGGAAAAACCGTACAACCCAAAACCTACGCCTCCCGACACTCCCATTTACTCTATCCCGGGGATGTCGACTTTTGCGCGCATAGAGGTGAATGAAAAAGCATTATTATACATCCGGATGAGGCGTTCAAAGTTCTGAGTGGCTGGATGAAGTGCAGAGGTAAGTCAGATGTTCAATCACACTGACGGATTGGAAATGGACGCACCTTCGTCTTGTGCGGTTAATAGGTACTTAAAAAGGGGCGCAGTAATGTGGTCCCCCTCATAGTCGACTGGAAGTGTGATCGTACCGCCTTGACAGCATTCAGAATACGCGTGTGGATTAGTTTTGTTCGCGGAGACTGGTCTCTCTTCTTTCCAATGCAAAGCTTTGCAAAAAGAGCACTGATCGTCCATTGCTCCAAGGCGGTGCGGGAGTTCTGTCGAGAATCGTGCGAGGAGAGAAACCTCATCAGCCTCGTGTGGCTGACGTATCGCAGGGCCTGCGTTGGCGTGGCGACCAGGCTGAGGATTATAATTGATCATGGGTGCCAGTGGCATTGTGATGTGACTGGGCCCGAATGGATACCCTGCGATATAATGTTTTCGTGCGCAATAAGATGCTTGTTTTGCTATGGGAAAGCGGTGGTTAAGGAAAGGCGTTAACTTGTGTGACGGGGTCAAGGTAGCGCCACAGAGAAAATAGTGAAGGAGCAGTGTTGGCAAGGTGAGCATAGAATGTAAATGACGTGTGATGGGATAGTTTGTCACGATAGTTGGTGTACAATGAAGAGTAGTTCAAAGCAATTGACAAAATAGGAGGTTATTATTCAGAGTTTGCGTGATCAAGACATGTTCATTGATTAATCATCACATCGAACTCGTTGGTGCGGACTGGGAATTTGGATCAGGCTGCGAGCTGCAGAGGCCGTGCGTCTGGATGTGCCTGTTCGTTGGTTGTGGCACGACCTGCAAACGTTGGAGCACGACAGATTAGATTTTTCGATCAGGTTCTGTTGATACACAGCTATGACATATAATTACAATATCTACAATCTATGAAAATACACTTAAAACGTCATCGTAAGGCATGGTAATATCTATTGCAAGCGCGGACGCTTCGGTTTGCTTGATGTGTCAACGGGATGTACGTGCAAACGTCGAGTGGGGCTGGAAAAAACATCAGAAGATTCCAACTCCACACCCTCGCAGGACACAGTGATAGAAGCATAGTCTTCAACGTCGGAGCCGGCGGCCGGCCTGTCAGAGAAGCTATAAAAATCAGACCAACAACCAACGGCTCCTGAGATTGGGCGGCTCATTGCAGCTGGGATGTTGGCTGAGGTTTCGGGAGGTGTGCGCCCAAATGGGACGTCCGTACGGTTGCAAAGTACTGGAGGCGGCGCTTTGGAAGAAATTTGGACATGCTGTGCCTGCGTGAGTCACCTGGTCAGTTTAGGCGTACGTTAATCGGTAGGTGCCTGTGCAGAACATACTTCAGTTTCCCATAAATGACTCGGCTCATTATAGTCTTTAATGACACCGGTAATGGTGACCTGTGCACCTGGCACGAGGAGACTGACGTCGTGGTTGTCTTGTAGAGCTTTTGGCAGGTAATGTCGTGTGCGGCATATGACCAAGCTGTTGGTCTGCAGTGTTGCGGAAAGTAACGTGGGATTAATACACCTGTTGGAATGGAGTGAGTTCTTGTGATTGCTTACAATGGGATCTTCGTCGACGCTACTCAGCGTGATGACTATGGTCGTAGTCCTATCGTGAGGGTTGAGTCGAACGTACTCGGTACGTTGGATGGTTCCACAAGCAATCATAGAGACACGATCGATGACTGCTGCGACAAATTCGAGTGACAACGTATTCAACGGTCCGAGGTCTATTGCGTCGTCAGGGTGAAAATGAAGATGATCTTCTCGATAGGTGTTGGAACCAATGAATTTGCAAGTCATGACGTAGATGTGTCCAGGTTTGAGTAGCGAGGTAGCGGAGCCTGCCCTAGCGAGACAAACGGGTGTGAGGAAGGGATCTTCGGTTGAGAGACCCGAGGTCGAGATGGAACCGCGAGTGAAAATAAAGCCCTTGTCATTTGCGAGGTCGTCGGGGATCTGCAGTTGAAGAGTCAGTGGAATATACGGGGTCCAGTAGCAAAGCGACTGACGTTGGATCCAGCCTGACCTACATACTGAACTTGAATGAAATCGGCGCGTGAGGTAAGGAAATTGGGTATCATGACGTATAGGCAGATTATAAGTTTATAGACGGTGTATATGATGAAGTATAAGACTAAGAAGTTGATTATGGTGAGAGAATCGCGACAATCACTGACACTGCACAGATGTAGTATTTTTCGGCTATGCAAAATGATTAGAATTAATGTCAAAAATGATTAAAAATGCTATGTTAATGCATAAAAATGCACCATTAATGCACCATTAATGAAAAAAAATGCAGCATCAATGCAGAAAAATGCAGTGTTAATGCACATGAAGAATGAATGCAGAATTCCACCTTTTTCAATTTTGTTTGTCCTTCAGGTCAATCATTTTTCACTTGGGAAAAATACTACATTTGCCCAGTGTGAATGATTGGTCAGACGAGCTTTATACTAACGTTGACAATGACAGGCGCATCGTTTGCTGACGGAGTGACGTTCACCGCGGAACCCTTCTTTCTTCGACTTGTAGTCGAGTCGAGGGAAGTTTTAAAAGCGACTCGTAGTCGAGTCCCCGCGTTCTCAGCTAATCTCAGAGAGCACTTGAGATTTGGCCTTGATACAGGCGCCAACTTCACAAAAAAAAAATTTCAATATCATGACCCGAACTCGGCCAAATCGGGCTTAAGAAGCCCTAGCGGTATCAGTCGCTGTGGCCTGTTCACCGCCAGAAAGCAGCATGCTGAGCCAGGCTGAGCCCCTAAATCTTTTACTCCCTTAGCACCGATAACTCGTGATTCAAAATATTTCTACTTTTCATTGGGAAACACAAAGAAGAAAGACATGCACAAAGAACTTGTGCTCAATTCAAGATGATCAACATCCTTAAAGGATGAGTTTGTTTCCTTGTCTTGCCCACTATACATATACTTTTGAAGACGATTACTATGTAAATGTCTTCGCGATTCAAATAGGAATGTAGACAAACAGGGTTTTGTTACGTCTTGCCCGAAAGATTTCCAATCAGAACGAAAAAATAGCACTGTAGTTACTTGAAACATTTCCGATTGAAATGAAAAAAACCATTCGATGAACGTTTTCCGATTGAAATGAAAACAAAAAACAAAACAAAAAATCAAACTTGAAGTCGACACGAAAAACAGTGTTGTTGTGAATTCAATTTTATTAACAACTCGAAGTAAGTGTGCTTCTCAATAAGTTGTGATCATTAAAGGTGATTGGAAACAGCAAAAAAAAATTATAGTCCCACAACCTGAAATTGGAAACATGCGAGACAAGGAAGTAAGGAAAAATAACTATCAGATCCCTATTGAGTCACTTTCATCCTCATTATCCCCTGTGCGTACGGCTTCTTCCATCTCGGGAGACATCCTTCGCTTCTTACCCTTGACCCTATACTTGTCAAAATCAAAGTCCTCGATTGGGATGAGGGAGATGGGGTTCGTTTGGATGTCAATGTTGACTCTTCGAGCCATCTCTTCGGTAAGACCAGAGTTGGGTCTGGTGATCCAGGATCTGTAGAGGCTGTCGGATGGTTCGTAACGTAAGTTGAACCCTTCGTCTTGTAGTCGACCTTCACAATTTGACCACGGCCAACCCTGCGGTTTTTTGGTAGATTTTCCTGGAAAAAGCCAAAGTGAGCCACTGTAACATTAGCACCAACGGTTCTAATAGTTACATACGAATTATCTCGTTCAACGTTTCCTTCAACTTGTCTTTTTCGATTGTTGGACCCCCTGGAGGTAGGTTGTAAAGATGGTGTTAGTGTTAATGTCAGAAAACTATCCGTCAGAAAACTATCGAATCGAACATCGTGGGACTCACTTGATCTTTTAGGCCGTACAAGGCCAGCAATTGTCTTGCCTGTAACATATGCTTGCATCTTTGATGTAGTACTTTCATGCTTTGCAGACGAACCGAGGTCATAGTCAGCCCAATCCCACAACCCAGGTGTAGTGGCCATGAATTGAAAACAGTGCGTTGATGAAAGGTGAGTTGAGACGGCTGTGATGGTGAATTGAACCGGATGAATACGAGACATGTTGTTTGCCTACAAGTCATCAAATTTTATTAATGATGCAATGCATGGAAACAACAGAAAAATCATACCTTCTTAATAAAGTCAGATACAAAATCTTCACATTTAGATCTTGAGCGCCCTAAGTCGCGTCCCGATGTCCGCAAGCCAGCCTGACAAACAACTTCATCGTTTGATCCACGAACAAATTTGACTAGGCCAGTTTGAGTGGGTCAATTGTCTGGTATCTCTTCAGGATTGATGCCATAATCATCATGACCTTCGAGATCAACACCTTCATCAAGGTTGTCTGATTTGTCAACATCAGAATCCTTTGGAATAAACGCATCCTTCTCGTCCTGTGACAAGCTAGCCCATAGCTCCTTCACCAGTTGCACTGCTTTTTCATTTGTTGCTCCACCATCTGTGAATATCGACATGATTCGATTGATTTGAATACCTATGTGAATTTCATTTTAAATATATATAGAAAGGATCCCACTATTTAGCGCCCCCTCGGCTGATATCCGGAGCCCCCCGGGTTTTCACCAAAACCCGTGTGACCCGCTGACACCCGACTATTTTCAGCCTATATTTCGCACAGTCGGACCTTGGGGGCTCCTCAAGGGCTCTCTAAGAGGGCGCAAACTCGCAAATAGAGCCCCTGATTAATTCTTAATTGACCTGTTTGGTGCCCTTCCATCCTTGATGGGGCAACAAAACTTTATTAAAACAAATAAAAGGGCGCCCAAGTTCTTTCGCGCCCGGACCGGCCCCATTACTGCACAGACATTGGCTCCTCAAGTAAGGGACACATACCCATAATAGCAACTTCCGTCTCTGAAGCTCAAAATATCACCCAATCGCTCAATCACCCATATTTCACCTCATTCTTCATTTAATCATCAAATCCCCTTCTCTATGCCTCATTAACAACCGTCGGATACCGGTGAACGCAATCCGAACTCCCCCTCCAAAAAATTGGACCATCCTACGTTGAATGAAACAGATTCTATGATGAGCGAACTAAGGTCCCTATCATTAGGAAGCTCAATCAAATGGTCTAACTCAAATCATGACCAAGATGATGAATGGATTCAACAACAAAATCAAAGAGCTCTACAACCCAATCAAAGAGCTACGGGAAGAAGCATACTTCAATCGGAACGTACGGCTAGTTGGAACCTTTCGGAAAAAGTCACAAGCTTCCGAGTACTGAAATACAATGTGACATTGGACCACCTTCCAGTGGCTGCTCTTTGGGATCTAACCCTCACCTCCCATATCCTCCCATGTATTGCTGAAGCTGACAGATATCTTCATCTTTACTTCCTGTGCGTATGTAGTATACCATGAAGGACTATTCAATGAACATCACTCATCAATTGCCTTTCATCATGCTCATATGGTAGCGTTATCAGCCCCTTTATTGCTTGTGAGACTGGGTCTTGCTCTGTACAAAAAAACTGCTCAAATCATCCGCATTTCATTCCACTTGAATTGAGAGGCTTTAAAACTGATTTGCTGTTTTTTACGCATTTCTAAACCTTCAAGGTGCAATGAGCAAGATCATAGACAAAGAGCTAACAAGCAACGGGGCACAAAGAGTAGGTTAGATAGGAATGGGAGACGATGTCAAGTGCAAGTATCGAGCACAATTGAATTTGTGGCCTCACAGTCACTAGTCTGTCTCTTATGTTGTACACTCTACTCTATACTTGTGTTGCCTTTTGTGTTTGTTTTTGTAGCTCTCCTGTCCTACTCGTTTGTTTCGACTTTCTAGCTCTTTTAGCTTTCTAGTTCTGATTCCTATATCTGATGTTGTATCTCTCCCTCAATTCTTCCTTATGTTGTATGAACCCCCTAAATCTATGTATACCTTCCTTGAGTTTAGGATACATATATGCCATGGTCTTGTGTACTCAAGTGCAATAGTGGCTCGTCGGACGCTATAGTGAACTGAGAAACTCTGCTCTCCCCTCGACATAGTTTCTTAGCTTCTATCCTTATACTTGGACTGTACATATACGTAGTGTGTACAAAACAAAACGGCGAGGTCAATGGACATTGGAGGATGAGTAGGGGGCAATTTTATTTGAGGAGGAAGCCCGATTTTTTCAAACAAGGAGCCCTGTTTGAAAAAAGGGGCAGCTAAATTGTTTGTAGCCTGGTGTCCGACCCGAGAGGGGGCGCCGGATACTGCTCCGAGGGCTCTAAATAGTGGGATCCTATAGAAATTATACGACTTGTACTCACATTTACAGTAGATATCTCTCACTTTCTGGGATCCCTTGAAGCGATCATAAGCTCTTGAAGCTCGAAGATATGTCCATTTTCCACTGTCAGGAAGAGAAATAGACGATGTGAGATGAATACAAAATCAAATACATAGAAGACAGTAGGAAGCTCACACTTCAGTTGCCGCGACATCTTGTGATATTCCAAGATGTATGCACAAGATTGCGAGAAGCTTCTCGGTGGAATGATGAAAGTCGCGGAGTATTTTCTTTTTGGTGTTTGACATTACACCTTTCTTTGTACCGTCCCCTCGGCTATGCTTGTCGGCCATCGTTCTAAGCTCTACAGCATCAAAGTTATTGAACAACTGTTCAACTGTATAGTTGTCTGGAAGTGATATATCATCAGGTAAGCGGAACGATGGAGCTAGAAATTCATCAACGATAGCCTTAGAGCTCTTCGTGGCTGTTGTTGATTTGCCTACATGTGTAGGTTGCTTTTCGGTTGGATTTTGTTGCTTTTCGGTTGGATTTTGTTGCTTTTTGGCTGGATTTTCTTGAGTAGCCTTCGATTTTCTGGCTCGCGATGACGCTTTCTTCGTTTGGGAGGTTTGATGTGATGGAACAGGTCGTGTAGAAGAGGGCATTGGTAGGTTTGAAGGTAGGTTTGAAGGTCTTACTTGCTGCGCGAGAGATGGTTGTTGGAAGCGTGAAACTGATGCGTCTGGGGCTCTTTCAGATAATACACGATTGGTTTCAATAGCATTGATATTGATAGGGATAGTTGCACGTTGAGGATTAGGAACCGAAAGCTGATTGTGATTATGATTTTCAATTCGATTCAATGTTTGATTAACGTGATCTTGATTTGTATCAATTTGATGATGTAGATGAGCTTGATTGATATCAAAACTACTTTGCCGAGTGGTGGGATCAATAAGATGGTCTAATGTGTGATTAAAAGTGTTATCTTGATTCATACTGTTTGAGGGTTGTGGATCCGTAGAAATAGAATTTTGTCGATTGAAGGTATTAGAATTGTATTGATTTAGATTCATTCTATGATCCTGATTGTGACGAGCATTTGGATAAATAGCAGGAGTACTCGTATCAAATGAATGATCTGGTGCAATAAAAGGGCCTTGACCCATGTTATATTGATTGTTGATAAGACGATTTGGAGCGAGATGTTGCACCTGAAGTTGATCATTTTGAGAAAACATCAAGCTGTTAGTATTGGTAGAGGATGTTTCAAATGAATGCTGGAAATCAGCGGCTTCTGGATATGTGTAGTTCATTTTGAAGGTCTTCTTTGGCGATGCTGGTTTAAGTGCTGGATGCGTGAATTGTGATTGTATGCGGGTGATGTAGTAATGCACCCCACATGAAGATGAGTAAAGTTCTAGTGTGTAGTGGCGCTTGCCGGAATTGGCGCAATAATCGTGGCAAAAACCAAAAACACGGCCTAAACTCAGCATTTTCAGTAAAATCTAGTTAAAGCCATTGGGAATTTGATAATAGGCAAATCCCGTGTTTTTACAAAAACCAAGTTGTATGCCTACTTTAACCACATGTTTTACAGACACCTCAAAGGTTGAGAAATGTGCTTGGAAACCACTGTTTAACTCTAGATTGGCAAGATGCACCACTACTGAGCACCATGGCATTTGGACCATGATGGCATGCTCAGGAAGTAAATGTAACAAAATTAAACAAAATTTAGTATAAGTGTAAAGTGATGGAGGAAATCACATGTCAGAAAAGGTTTCTGGTGGTGAATTATGAAAGCTCCAAAATTGGCAAAAAAAATAGTGTTTACTGGAGCCATTGGAACCACTGAAAAGGTTACTAGGAATCAGTTCCTTGCAAGTTAGTGTGCTGGTCAGGAAATACATAGGGGTCCTTGGAGGTTTCCACACATGTCAGAGGGGTTGTGTGATTGTGTAAAGGCGTAGTCCTCATATTTACGGTAAGAAAAAATCCTCATTGAAGCTCTTTGGGCAAAAACTGACAATTTTATTGAAAATGTTGACAGTTAGTAGCATTTGGACCCCTACATTTGCAGTTGTGGAAACACACATGATAAGTAAAACTTCTGAAGTGTTTGTGCAAACCCAAAAGTTAAAGCTTATTTGGATTCTTGGAGTGTGAGGCTTTAAAAATTATAACTTTTATACAGAAATATGCCACTTGAAGAACTACTTATGGCTCTTCCAGTGGCATTGGTACCCCTACATTTGCTCTTGTGGGAACACACTCCATAAGTAAAAATTCTGGAGTTTTTGTACAAGCCCAAAAGTTGAAACTGATTTGTATTCATGGAATGTGGTGCTGTGAAATATAACCCTTTTACACCAAAATATACCACTTGAAGAACCACTTATGGCCCTTCCAGTGGCTTTGGTAACCCTACATTTGCAGTTGCGGAAACACTCATGATAAGTAAAACTTCTGGAGTTTTTGTGCAAACCCAAAAGTTAAAGCTGATTTGGAATCTTGGAGTGTGAGGCTTCAAAAAATATAACTTTTATACAGAAATATGCCACTGGAAGAACCACTTATGGCTCTTCCAGTGGCTTTGGTACCCTATATTTGCAATGTTGCGGAAACACACATGACAAGTAAAACTTCTGGAGTTTTTGTGCAAACCCAAAAGTTAAAGCTGATTTGGATTCATGGAGTGTGGGGCTTTAAAAATTTCAACTTTTATCCAGAAATATGCCACTTGAAGAACTACTTATGGCCTCATTAATGATTTTTGAGGTCCTTTTTTCCTGAACGGTGCATAAGGAAAACTTTTTTGTTTGTTGAGATAAACCAAAAAAAAAAAAGTACCTTTTTTATTTCACATAAAACTATGAAAAAAACCAAAAATCTCAACTTTTTTTTTTTGGTCCCCTCACCCAAAATCATGCCTAGATACCTCCATAACGGATCTCATACTCATTGCCACAAAGTACACAACACTCAGGCAGTAAGCTCAATGTATAACTAATGCAACATTTTCATGCCTATTAGGTAGATGATTTAATGTAATCAATCACGCATAAACACTCACAATGAGTGCAAACAAAACATATTTCAGAATTAAGAATGTGGTACCACTAGGTATCAAGAAATGTCTTATTGTGAAAACCAATCAATTGGTTTATATAAATGTGAAGCACTTTGATCAAATCAGAATGATAATGCACTTCTTAACCCCAAGGTATTCTAACTTTAAGTGCCAATGCCTGTGCATTGCCTTATTTTCCAAACTTGTAAGGGTTTTCATCGTATCACATAGAATATTGATAACTTTTTCAATAATGGCTCAATCTTATTAAAAGTCATCTCAAATTTTCCAGTAAAAACCAGATTTGGTAGTGCTTAAGGCTGACTTGAAAGTGAATAACCCATCTTTTTAAAATATCAACCAGCACAAATTGTAAAAGAAGAAGAAGAAGAGTGGGCTACACATATTACTGAAAGCCCCTCGTCACCCAGCTTCAAAGTCTGTTGATTTAAGAGGTGAAGCCGAAGGGAGAGCTACTTGGGGTAAAGATGTACTTGGCCTAAACATAAGGCTGATCAATCAAGTCAAAATGATCCTTATAAGGTCGGTTCGGGATCTTTTCCTTCATTAATACGGTTGCTGACTCATTAATCTTATCTTTGACACCTTTAACTCTTAGAATGGGCTTGTCCGCTCGCTCAACACTTTACAGCTTGGGTTGAGCGAACTTTGAAGGTTGCTACTTTTGAGAACAACCATCTCCGTTCTAAATGTTGACAAATAGAGCTCCGAGATTGATCATCAAGTGCATATGTTTACTATGAATTTGAGAGGAAGCTCCGAGATTAATCATCGATTGTGTATGTTTACTATGAATTTATGAAGTCGAGAGCCAATTTATTGGCGCAAAGGCTGAATCTGATGTGGTCGTCAAAAACTTCATGTAGAAAAGCTTTTGTACTGCCAATGTGAACCTCGCCGGAGGGTTCAAAAGCCTTCCGAGTTGATCTCAGCTTGCACAGGCAGAGTTATGTAAAGGTATGCTGATTTTTCTCTTCCAAAAATCAGATAGTCAAGTCTTACTTACACTTTTCTGTTTGACCGACTTGTGACATGGGCACTCGTCAATAAGAGGCCAAGCCAAAAAATCGAGTCACAGTTTTGTGACTCGATTTTGTGAGTCAAAAGATTTGGACACATGGATTTGATTCTCACATATGAAGAAGTGAAAAGCCCACTGTATTCAATTTGACAAACCATTTTGACGGATCATGTTCATTCCGATGAGCAAGAAATTGTTAAAAAGCAAAAATTTAAATTCTTTTACAAAAATATAACGATATCACATCATCGCGTTATTGATATCCTCCCATTGTGCATCAATCTCTTCATCACTCAAGTCTCCATATAAATCTCCATCAGTATTAGTAATGCCTTCACTTTCTAAATCAACATCTGGTAAGGCCTCATCATCTACTTGATTATTTGCCTGAGTACCATCTTGCCTCCACATATCAATCAACCTACCTGGGTTCAAAGAAATCACATCTTGTGAGTACATATTATAAATCTTTTGGATTTGATTTCGCCAGCTCAACTTAAGATCATTATCGCCTTCTTGTGATGGTGTGTTATGAAGTACCTCACCCAGACACTTATTCCAGTCCGCTTGCAAGTCCATAATTTTTACTAGCCTTTCGTTTAAGATAATTTTTGAAGCCGTGATCTTACCCGCACTGCTAAGCTGGCTCAAAGCTGGATGGTCAATCAGTGGAAGAGGATCGGCGTCAGGAGGCCCGTGTGCCTGAAGTCGAAAAAGATGAGTTGATAGTGATTGGTGCAATTCAATTGACCATCGCATCACTCTTCTAACTTCCCACCCTAATCGGCGTATCTCCTCGTTGGCTCGGTCATAGTACGCAACCTGGCGCATTCCGTACTGTGTGTTAGAATCAACTGCCCACGGCTCGCGTCCATTGGTGAAGAGTCCATCGTTCCAGAAGGAGTGATCAAAGTCGATTTCGAGAAGCTCAAGGTAGGGGATGCTTGCCGGCTGTGATCGATGCGGAGATGTGGTAGAATATGATGTTACCAGCTTTTGATAGGTCTCCAGTTTGCTCTTTAATTTTGCAGCCTGGTCACGGAGTGACTTAAGTAGATGAGTTTTGTCATTGTAACCTGTGCATGCGTGAAACTAAAAGGATTAGTTGGAGATAAAAGTGGCAAGGGGAAATGATAGAAAAATAAATAACTCACCAATGCTCGAATTCTTCCCATCACGTCGGCTAACATCCAGGGGGCGTTTCTGCTCACATATTGCAACAAACTGATTACGAACTTCCTGCTTTGCATACCATATTTTCAAGATCTGATCTTGTTCTTGTGCTGCAGTCCAGGAAATGCAGGTGAGCATATTATTTACTTGATCTGAGATATACCGGTGAATGATTACCATTTAAATCGTTCAATATAGCTTCGGATCCTATCTTGGAACGTTGTTTTTCGATTTTTTTTTGATTTTGGTGTGTTCATCGAGTCTGGAAATGGCTTCATCAACATCATGTGCATCTCGATCCCTTAAAACAAGCTAGTGAAATGTAAGCTGCTTTATTCATTTCAAATGACAGATAATTCTATAAAATTTACCAAATTTCTTGAGCCATCTCTTCTAAGCATAGTAATCGACCAAGTTCAATTTTTTGTTCTTCTTGTATATAGCATCTCTTGTGTTGAGAGTTGCGCTCAACAATCCATTGTTCACGTAGGAACTCGTAAGTATAGCGGATGGTGGGGAATAATGAGCTTCTCTCCTGAGATAATTTGGAGAGGGCACTCGAAGTTTCACGTAATACAGTTTGAGCATTTCGTAGTCGGCGTAAAAGCCAATCACCTAATAAATCACAATCAGCTGCCGATCAGGTTGTCCAATTATATTAAAATCTACATACCAGTTGATTTCAAGTTGATTTCCACAAAGAATTCTGCCCGCCAATTTATGTTGAGGAGTCGATTAAGTCGAGTTGATATACGATTCACCGCCACCAATAATGCTAAGAACAACCAAAACCGTTCGAGGCCCTCACCATCGGTCAATCCCCAAAACGTGTTGAAGCACGGGTTGTACAGTACTTGACATGCCCAGTTATGTACATAAGCGTGAAAAACCGAAGTTCCGAATTTCAGTCGATCTACAATAGCTTCAAAGAAATTCCTCTTTGGACAATATGACATTAGTATGAAGCCTGAAAGGTTGGTAAATTGCAAAACTACTTGCCGCCTTTATGTGTGCCTCAAGCTGACAGCCAATGTCGTATAGAACTCCAATCTTGATATCTGGCAGATCTAGCAACAATTGCTCAAGAATGCTCAACGGATAATAAAGCCTGTGGACAGGTATTAAACGGATAAATTCATGGTCAGGTATTGGAATATGTCAAGTAAAATTGCATCACCTACTTTTCACCGGTTTTGTAGATATTGGCCAACTTCAAGGGCACGTCGTGTCGGCAAGTACATCCAAACAGACCAGTATCGTCGCTTTGTTTCCATGAGGTTGAGTTCCTCACATCGTTTGCTGCAGTGTGAGAGTCAGAGCATGGATTCTGAATTGAAATCGAGTTAGTAATAAGTTCTGATGTTAGATGAATCTGTATCGGGCCCACCTTGATGTTCTTGGCTTGGGCTTTGGTTGAATTCTGAAGAATCTCGTGCTTCGTCATAAGAGAGGGTTTAATGAATATATCCGGATACTCGTCTTCGGTAGGATTATCTTTGCTCGATTTAGTGTAGTGTCTATGTTGAAAGTTGCCATCTAATGCAACAATGACATGTGGTTCTTCAGGTAAATGTTGTTCATGGATTGCTGGACCAAAACATCGGCCACAGCGATCGGCCAATAATTGAGCATTTGAGAGGTTGAGTCCTTCATTATAAATTTTTTTCATACATAGCAAGATAGTTCGATACATGTTGACTGAATTAGAAAACTGTCTTCTAAGATCACGTTCATGGAGGAGTGATCTGTATTGAGACGTTCGAGGTTTCAGGCTGGTTTTGCTTCGTAGATTGAGAAATGACATCAATGCATTGATGAATCCGGTACTTGATATCACTGTCGTATTCCAAAGTTGATGGTGGAATTGAAGGAGTGGTATTGAGAATGCCGTCTGTGGAGATTGAGGCGAGCTTGAAATATATCCGTAATGTAAAAGCCGTACAGGTTTGGGCATACACGCACAGAAGAGGATTGGGTGCTTGCTATGAAATCCTAAGGTGTCAATAAGGTCAACTGAATCAATTGTGAGTGAATTTGAGCATTGGCAGTTGATGTCGACATCGAGGTATGAGGCTTTGGAAGTCCAATTTCGTGTTTGATACTGAAGTTCAAGGTATGTAGCAGTCATCTGAAATTCGATTGCATTCCACTGAAGTTTAAGATTCCTACGGGCCTCTGCATTCCACCAGGAACGACTGTCTTGAGCAAATTGATAGGCGGCGTCAGGGATCGGATGAGCTGGGGCTTCTGGTTCTTCGGGTAAAGGCAAGAATTGATTCAATTCGGGATTATCATCCAAGTCTTCAAGATGTCCATTTGAAGCGGGAACAGGATGGGTAGCAATGCCGAGAGAAGCCGATATCGATTGAGCTTTCTGAGGAGTCATCTTGGGAGGGGTACCAGCTTTTCGACGCCGTTTCGACCTCAAGCCCATATTCCCTATCAGATTCGTCGGTTTATTGGTCTTGCCCATATCGGTGAGGTGTATCGGAGGTTTGAATGTTGAATGACTATGTACGAAGAATCTTGAAGTGGTAAGTGGAGACTTGGAGTTCGACTTCAGTGGCCACTGGGTTGGGGTCACAGCCACCTGTACCGCAGGGCTGCTGCTGATACCGCTAGGGCTTCTTAAGCCCGATTTGGCCGAGTTCGGGTCATGATATTGAAAAATTTTTTTTGGTGAAGTTGGCGCCTGTATCAAGGCCAAATCTCAAGTGCTCTCTGAGATTAGCTGAGAACGCGGGGACTCGACTACGAGTCGCTTTTAAAACTTCCCTCGACTCGACTACAAGTCGAAGAAAGAAGGGTTCCGCGGTGGTGACGTTGGTAGAAGGTGAGTATTGTATAGTCTGAACCGGGTCGAACAGAGGTACTGGTTTGGTTTGTTATTGATTTATGGTGAGAGAATTGAGACAATCACTGAATGATTGGTCAGGCGAGGTTTATACTAACGTTGACAATGACACACGCATTGTTTGCTGACGGAGTGATGTTGGTAGAAGGTGAGTATTGTATAGTCTAAACCGGGTCGAACAGAGATACTGGTTTGGTTTGTTATTGATGAGGGTTGGATCGCCATTTTGACACGGTGGTGAGCGTGGCGGTTGGGAGCAAAAGTAGCCAACGCAGGCTATGTCGATGGTCGTACGCTTCGAGCAGCAGCAAAAGGTCGACATCACAATTTTAAGCGGATAGTCCTTTGTATTTGGTAGAATGCGTAGAAGTGCAGAACGCGACCCGGTGGTGAAGCAATTAGATCATGGCGGAGGCGGTCACGTGGGGTGCCTGATGTGACGAGCTATGGGATATGCCTATCCCGCGCTGGGACAAGCATACAACAACGCTCTGGTTAGTTTGCACTACAATGTGTAATAGGTGTTGGTTTGTAAACGTGGGTCGAATTGGGTCTCCTTGAATGGAATGGGGTGAGATGTGTAGCGACGACGGTGATTCCAAATCGGCGGGCAGCGTGAGTGTGGTGCGATCAAGACACGGTGATGGGCAGATGGAGGAATTGTGATAGCTTTGGTTGCGGTTAAGAGGAGACACACAGAAAATAGTCTCAGGGGATAATAGTAAGAGGACATGGTCATAATTCAGGGTTGCAGACCGAGGTTTCGAGGGAGTACAGCTTAGGTAAGTAGTCGATGGTGAAGGGTGAATAGAGATGCCGCATGCTTGGTGCGTGGTAGCGTGGCGGAGTGTAAGCTTAACTAAGCCCCTCTCGGACGAGCGAGTAGTCGAGAGAGGGGCTTAAATGGGACTCGCGTTTCATGGCGGGAGAGCTCCAGAAATTAAGTACCTTTATGTACTTTTCTGGAGCTCTCCTCAAATACTCATTGTGGGATTTCTCAAGGTTCAGATATGTGTAGCTTCATGAGAAGCTACACAACCTCGTACCACTTTCAGCAAGATTTGTTGGAAGTAAGGGTATTCAAAACGGATTTCCAGTTTGTTGCAATGTGTAGCTGGCTATTTCAGACCAGGAGGCTGAAATGGCAGCTTTGTCGGAAACTACCAATTTCTTGACAAAACACCACAAGGGTTTCGTCTTCGTAAAAACAATAAAGGACCTCGCGCCACCGGGATAAGTGTCCCTCGATATCCAAGGGTTTTGATGAATATCTTAAGGGTTTTAGCTTTTATCCATTTCGGCTCAAGATGTGCTCCGGTCAATATCCGGCGTGGTCGGCTCCATCCGACATCCGGACCGACGGTTATTTTTGACTATCCGGCATGCTGGACCCCCATCCGACACTCGAACCGGCTACTCGCCGGCTATCCGGCGGATATCCGGCCGGTACAGCCAAAAAAAAAAAAAAATAAAAAAAAAGAGAAAAGGGCGTTTTCGATCATCTTCCCCACCACCTCAAACCTTACAATTGTCTGAGAAATCCACTTATCACCGCGCAAACGACCTTCTCACTTCAATTAATCAACCTTAAATCAATTGATCAACATGTCCGAAGCCCCCACTTCAACCACAATTGATTTGTCCCATGCCGATAGCTCCGATACGACGGAATCTCAGTCAACTCGAAAAAGTTACGTATGGAAATATTTTAAAAGATTAGAAAACTCAGATATCAATCAGTGTCGTTACGTCATGAGGGATGGAAAAGAATGTGGCACGAAGTTGAAACGCGATCATAAAGGAAGTACTACTTCGATGAAGAACCACCTCACTTTCAAGCATAATCTCCGCGATGACGGTCCAATCGATGGAAGACAAGGAAGCTTGACTGCAGGTTTCAAGAAGATGAAATCAGTTCACATGGCGAGTCTTTTTGTCTTCTTACTCCAGAACACATCGACAATAGCTGATGTTCATGTTCTTTTGATTCGAAAAACTGTTAGGATATACTTGATGTTTCCAACCTCAAGACTAGTATATGTTATCTCATCGCCGATAACGACCTCGCCTTCTCAATCGTTGAGAAAGAATCCTTCCGAAGATTATTGAAGCTTGTCAATCCTGAAGTAAAAGGAATGCTTGTCGGACGACATGCAATTTCTAAACATATGCGCAGACTTTATTATCATCATGAAGATCATATCAAGAAACTTTTCTTAGGACCTTGCAAAGCAATCGCCATTACTCAAGACGCATGGACGTCTCCAAATAATAAGCCGTTTATGTCGCTCACTGGTCACTTTATAACGGAGAACTGGGAACTTATGGACCTGACTCTTGGCATTGCGGAAATCAAAGGTGAGTGTATCTTGTTTTCTATCGATCTGATCAACTCAAGCTGACTGACACCCAATCTTCCAGGTGCACACAACGCCGATAACTTTGCCGGTTTAATCATCGAATATCTTACCAAGTATGAACTTACCGATAAGTTGTGTGCGATGACTGCCGATAATGTAGGTACAAACGCTGCTATAGGTCGAGTCCTTTCAAATTCAGATGGTATCACTTTCGATCACACGAAACAAGTCCATGGTTGCGTGGCGCACGTTATCAACCTAGCTGCAAAAGAGGGACTGAAGGTTTTTGGTGAAATTCTCGACGAGGACGAAGAGCAAGATTCATCAAACTTAATGGATATTAACAACCTTGTCGACCCACCCGACGTGACTCAAGTAAACCTCAAGACCATCTACAATCGATGCCATGGTCTAGTTACTTGTACTCGGTCCAGCCCTCAACGTGGTCAACATTTCGCTGATATTGTCAAGCTCAAGCGTGCTATTGCTGCTGCTGCGAAGAAGAATCAGATTTCAAGAAACAATCCTCAGCCTCAAAGAAATCCAGCTGCGAATCCTCCATCAGCCCAAGCCGACCCTGATACTGATAATTCTGATCCTGCTGACACTGAGGCTCTCGATTATCTATTAGATGATCCTACTGTCGACAATGTTCAACCACCCCCAAAAACAAACCCGGCTGAAACTGCAACTCGCCTGATTGTCGATGTTCCCACCAGATGGAACTCTTCATATCACATGTTTCGAAGACTTTTGCGTCTACGAGAAGCATGTGATGAATTCTGCCTGCAAAACGAGTACAAAAAGTATGCGCTCTCCGGGCTCGAGTGGGATTACGTCAAACAAATGTGCAACTTCTTGGAACCTCTGAGCGAAGCAACTGACATACTCTGTAAGTCAAAGTATCCAACAATGCATCAAGTTGTTCCTTTGTATGTTGCAATCTTGCAAAAATTAAGATTAGTAAGTATTTGTATCTTTTTGATTTTAAATACACATTAATTATAATTGGCTAATGTGACTTAATGTACATCTAGGTACGCCATCAATACGATCACGATCAACTTCAACCCGCGTCTAAAAACATGATCTCAAAACTTGAAGACTACTTCAAGAAAGTCCTTACTAAACCTGCGCCAGTCTGTGCTACCCTCCTGGATCCACGCCTCAAAATGAGCTATTTTCAAGTGAGTTTCTTAATACTCATCTTACTTTGAGGTTGTACTGATCAGGAAGTATGTCTCATTTACCAAAAGGAACGATCCATGTTTTTTTCTGAGTACGACCTCTTTACTTCAGACATCAGGTCAACATTTGAACTAGAGGCCTTGAAATATGAAGTCGATGATTCAATGCCCACTCCAACTACCACCAGGAAATCCACTGCAACGTCTACTTCCGAGTACTTCGAAGACGCTATTTTTGGTGCCCCAGACGCTCCACAGGACCATTCGATCAGTGCGGAGATCACTCAATATCTCAACGATAAACTCGAATCCCGCGACACTAAGGTCCTAGATTTTTGGAAAAAACGTGGTAGCGATATGTATCCTGCATTGGCAAAAATGGCCATGACCTTCCTTGCCATTCCAGCAACTAGCTGTCCGTCGGAGGGGATTTTTAACAAGACAAAAAGGATCTTGGGGCCTCAGCGTACTAATCTCGCGTCCTTACACGTTGAGGCTCTCTTGTGTGTGAAAGATTGGCATCGGGTGTTTGGCCCTTTGAAACCTAGCCGTGATGCTGAGGATGATAGTGATTAGTTTTTATTTTTTTTATCATCTTGTTTCCCTTTTTATTCAATATTTTTCCTTAAATTGATGTAAACACACGGCTACCTGAGACTGCAATGATATGCAAATATCCGCCGGATATCCGACGGATATCGCATTTTCTGACCCCCTCATCCGATAACCGAACCGGCCGGAGTATCCGGGAACCGGATAGCTCCAAGGCCTCATCCGACATCCGGAACCGTCGGATGCTCCGTCGAGTATCCGACGGATTTTCGGTTTCGGAGCACATCTTGAATTTCGGCGGCAGTTTCGGCGAAGGACCAAACATCCAAATCTCGGTGAAGGCCAGTACAGGCCTGTACTGGCATGCTTAGGCTGTTACAGGAGGACGTAAGAAACCATTTGCGCAACGTTTCCTGAAAGCGTCACAGCTCTCAGTTGTTGATGAAAGTGGTACGAGGTTGTGTAGCTCCTCATGAAGGAGAACATACCTGAACCTTGAGAAATCCTACGGTGAGGAATTGAGGAGAGCTCCAGAAAAGTACATAAAGGCACTTAATTTCTGGAGCTCTCCCGCCATGAAACGCGAGTCCGATATAAGCCCCTCTGCGAGGGCGCGGCGAACGCGCTAGAGGGGCTTAGTTAAGCTTACATCTATCGTATCTGTGGCGGCCTTGGTTCAAGTAGTGAATCATCCATTGACAACTGTTTCGTCACTGCAATTAAAAGCGTGGTCGAAGTTAGATGAGAACAACTTCAGTCCTTAAGACATCAAAAGACTCGGATAATGAATTTTGGAGAAGGTGCCAAACTTTATGGAGGTATATTATTATAGACCAAGGAGACATGATTCTGAGATGAAATCACACCAAAGGAAAACTCAGTAAAGCAACTCATAAAGTGGCCAAGATACTTGCTGAATTTTTTGATGGAATCTGGTGAGCAACATGCAAGGCTAATCAAGGAAGACTTACGCAGTATCGGATTTTGAATCACGTGTTTGCACATGTATGCAGTCATATGTATGTATGTAGTCAATCGAAAGGGTCATCAAGAGAATGATCGAAGCACCAAACCTTTGAACCAATCCAATGATGACTTCAACTTCTAATCATCACCATCATCACCACCATAGTAATAATCCCAATTCAATCTCAAGACGTTATCATTTAATCACCGATCAATCTCTCAAGAATGATGATGGCAAATTCATCTTGATCAACTCCCAAGAATTAAAACTTTATCAATCTTGGCGTTCAACTATCAATCATCAGAAATCAAATCACAATCAATCTTATCTTCATCATCGTTTGATTTATAATTTAAGCAATTTACCCCAAGCTAAAGTATGTTATCAAATTGAATCGGTGAATCAGCAGGATATCTTATTGACTTTTGGTTGATTTATAGTGTTACGATTGGTTTACTAGTCCTAATCATCAATGCGACCTTCTCGCTGCTGGAACGTACAATGGAAGAGCCTATGTCATCAAGCTTCCTAAACTCAATCAAACTTTCAACAAATCAAACAATTCAACTTCAAATTCCAACCTCAACCAATCACCTCTCATTGGCCATTCCACCTTGCCTTCTAGCTCCAATCTTCGTCCTTGTACTGCTATAGCTTTCTCTCCTTCTGGTCGTCTCATTGCACTTGGACTTGAAAAAGGAAGAGATTATGGATTGCAGATACTTGATATTGAAGGTCTATCAGGTTCGTTCATTCCAATCACACTCAGTTTATCTCTTCCTTCTTTGATTAATATCTCTTCTGTTGATTTGAATCCTTAGATCGTTCGAATTCTACAGCCATGGAAACACATCTTCAAAAACCTTCCATTGCACATGCTGTGAACTCGGAGACTATCAATGCGCTTGGATTTTTATCCGTCACTCCAGCTTCGCATCAATCTTTGCTTTTAGTAGCCAGCTCGACCAAGTCAATCAGACTTTATGATTTACGTTCACCTGGTTTGAACTCTAATGAGCGTGGCCCTCGATCGTCCCTATCTACTTCGCATCCTATCGTATCTCAGGTACTCAATCCTAATGGTCAATGGGTCACTCGTTCAGTCGTTGGATTCAAGTCCGATCCATTTGATCCTCATCGTTTTGCCTCATGGTATGGCTTTGGTTCTCTTTATCTTTCAATCTCATTCAACCTATTGGCTATCAACGCTAGTCTCTTGTTGGCCTTGGTCAGAACTTGCGATTCCTTATCAAAGGGCTTGCTTGCTTTTGTACTTGATCTTCTAGGGGAGATGACGGCTGTGTAAGGATCTGGGATACCCGCAAGACCACCGAAAGTTTACTTTTGCTTTCTGAGGACAGCGTCAGTCATGAAACTCGATCTACTTCGGCTCGTTCCAGCAAAAACCCACCCATGTCCTTAGGTTCAAGTTCGATTCAATCCTTGACCTGGTCCAAATCCAGGAAAGGTGTCTTGGTCACCCTGTCTGCCGATCCTCAACGTGTCAGAGTTTGGGACCTCGTCGAAGGATCGATACAGTCTACGGCATTGCGCAATCGTTCCGAAGGAATGACATCTTTGAAGTCTTGGGATAATGTACCCGCCTCACTCACAAACGCTAGTGCTTATCGAAACAGTGCCCAGTCTTCTCCAGTAGCATCATCACAAGAATCTCCACGAATTTCTGCTTACACAGTATATTCCACTCGTTTACTCAAGCCATTGAAAAGGACTTCTCAGATAATAGCGGGTGTCCGCATTCCTACAATCACTTCATCCGAACGAATCCCTGGTCCTGATTCAGTTTTCGAAGAGATTTCGGAAACCTATCTAGGTATCTCGCGTGATGGGCACTTAGAGTTCCTGGAATCTCGACCATCAGGGGAAGCTGCTTTTGGATCCAAAGGCAATATGGTCATCAGCGATGGAATGCGTCTCAGAATTACCGCCCGTCCTTCGAATCAGGATGATAAGGTGTCGTGCAGTACCATACCGGATCTTCGTCTGCCCATCGCATCCCAAGTAGCAAGTCCGGAGAATCAGGCTAGCTATATCCCTAGCCCGGCTTTTAGTCCATCAATCTCTACTGCATTGTCTGATGCTGGTCTACTTACGCCACGTCCATTGGGTTCTGAAGGATATCCCTATAATCAATCTCAATCACATCATCGTCCACCTTTACCAAGCGATCTCGCTGAATTACAACTTGCCAACAAGTTCGGTCGTCATTTGACCGTCAATTCAACCTGGGAAAACTCGATGGGCTGCGATAAGAGCAAAGATGGACATTTGCTTCAGAATGATATATCTGCAATCATGATGAAGCGAGCTTGTGTAGGATATGGTACAAATGTATGACATCTTGTACTTGTCACTTGATCCCATTGATGATTGACTTACGAATCATCTTTCCTAGCTCCTGAGAAATCAACAACTTACGTCCGACAGCCCAGAGTTGTCTGGGTTTTGGGAATGGATCGCACGTAAAACATTACCGCTTTCTTGTGTTGTAGCTTTTATCCTAACTTTGAAAATTTGTTTTAGACTCAGAAAAACTCTTTCAACAAGGAAACGGAATGGTGAACGGCTACGACTTCAGCTTCAGAGGCGTATTATCAATTATGAGGGGATTTACCACTGGGACTGGTCTTCGATCGGAAGTCCCTAACTGTCAAACCTATAAACATGCAATCTCAAGCACATCGGATGCATTTGCACACTCCGATCCAAGCCTACGTACTTCTCATAGCAGAAGGTCAAATTCACGTAATCCAGATCAACAGAAAGAATTGTCTAAATATATGAAATCTGTTAGACAATTCAATCATACCAATCAGATCAATAACTTTACAATTTCATCCGAGTTTAGTGATCAACGACAAACTGCTCTGTTCCTTTGTGGACCGGATTACAATTCTAAAGATATCGATCAAATCGCTTCAAAGTATGAAGCTTTGGGGATGTATGGTAAAGCTAGTGCGATTTCATTCTTTTCTGGCAACACGCAAAGAGCTATTACCAGTCTACAGAGGAGCAACGGTTAGTCAACGGTACTCACATCACTGTTTCGGCATAAACTAATTGATGAGGTATTTTTTTAGATACCCAATTGCAGCTTCTCGCCCCACCACTTGCAACTCACCTCAATACGCAAAGATCAGGACATCCCCGTGACCCACTCTTCGATCAAGTCTGTCGACAATTAGCCAATGCTGCTGAACCTTATATTCGGGCTGTCTTTTCATATTGCTCTACTGGAGATTGGCATGAGGTAATTGATGAAACCGGTTTACCCCTCAAGGATCGAATTGCTGTAGCGTTACGATTTCTTCCGGACGAGGAAATCTTTCATTGGTTAGATGGTGTGGCACGTGACATGGTGTCTTCAGGTTGCTTGGAAGGAATTTTACTCACAGGGCTTCAACCATCGATGAACCTCAGTATCAATGGTGAAGCTCAGGTTTCTGATGGATTCAAACTTTTAAAAAATCACATCAATCGGACTGGCGATCTTCAAAGTGTAGCCTTATCAATTTATTTATTAGTACCTGATAGATTACATTCTTATGGGATGGAACGGTGTATAGAAAGTTACAGAAGATTATTAGATCGATGGAAACTTTATACAGTTAGGATTAAATTTGATATAGCTCGAGGAAAAAAAGCAAGAGAAATCACAAGTTCTCAAAAATCATCAAACTTACCTTCTCTTGTACCTTTAGCTCCACCTCAATTGATTATTTGGTGTCAACATTGTTCTGAAGTTTTATCTGATGCACCCAATGTTACGGCTCATTTGAATAGTATTTCGTCTATTCCTGATCTGGGTACTACTAATACATCAAATCTTCATGGTTCGAATCTTGCTAGTATGGCTAGTTTTAAGAATGTTGGACCTACACCTGTGGCCTATCGAGTAAGTCCACTCTTTCATGTTACGCATCCTCAATTTTTGATTTTTTTGACATATCACACGTTCTTAGACAAACCGATGTCCTGGATGTGGTAAATCTTTACGAAAATGTGCAATTTGTCTAATGTCTAATAGTAATAAAACGTACAGTAAGTCTTCAAAACGTAACTGATGATTTTGTTTGTTGATTATACATAATTGTTGATAATACGATCCCCTCCTTTTGTCCTACCGCCGGGAAATCCTTGAGAAGCGCAATTCTCAAGTGGCGTTCTGTGGAAAGTCCTGTGTTTATGAATCGAAACCCTTTCGTCTGTCATAGGTTTCTTTTCATCTAAAGCCTTCTCGACCATATCTCAAGCCTTTGAAAGCTGTGACACGTTAACGCACCTCGGTTCTTGCTCTTCCCCAATGTCTTTGCCAAATATGCTACAATCATTTTTGAAGATATCGACTTCACTGTGGTTACTGTGGATTTATAGGTCGAATGTGGCAACTGTAGCTGGTCAAAATGTTGAATGTAACGTAGAATTTTCACTGAACTCGGACGGTAAAGGAGGTACGTGATTTTATTTCGGTCTTCGTGACCTGACTTGGCCATGAGCATATACCCAGTCTTACAGAGATCTGCTTGTTGATTGCTCAAATTAAAAGTGTGCAAGCATCTTGGATCGTCTACCACAGATACATATCACTGCCCTCATTCACGGTGCTGGTGTCAAAGTGAGTAATATCTAAAGTAAATCATCATCTCCTTGTCGGACGGCTCATTTTTGGACATCTTTCATTTACATGTGTACCGGAAGATAATCAGTGGATTCCAATTTCTGCATGCCGCCTGCGAGGATCTGGAGTTCCCGGCACAAGTTCTCAACAATGTGCAACATATGATCTCGTGGCAGGCAATAGTTTCAGTTAGTATTCTGAGTCCTCAGTCTTCCAGCCCTCAGATCAAGATTTCTGATTGGAGCTTTATTCTTGGCGACTGAATTGTTGATTTGTAGATTGTAAAAACCCCGCAGGTATAGCTTATACATGCCATCCAGACCATTATCCTCCTGTCATAAGTCAGTTATAAAGTCTCTTTGATCAATGACAAAAGCTTACCTGACTGAATTTTTTGTTTCCCGCTAGTATGTGACACTTGCACATTGATACCAGATTCGTAACACTCATAACTACTTCGGAGCTGCTGAGGGGCTGTTGAGGTTCCTGATTGGTGATCTGCAATAGAATCTGATTGAGTAGTTGTCCGTCATCGAGAAGCATTGAGACCCATCAGGACACAATGTGTGACAGATATGACAGTGTTTAAAGAACAATTCAGTCCATAAAACAATTACCATAATGCAGTAGTGCAAATGAAACAATACACCAAAGTAAATTTCATCATAGTAGAGGTGTTTTGACCAGAACACATACTGCAACAAAGCTGGTTTCATCAATATACACATTAGCATGCTTGTTTGTGCCCTGTTTCATTGGAAGGGTACCATCCAGTGAGTGAGATAAAAGGTTCCAAAGGTTCTGTCTTGCAATGAACCAAAAGATGTCTTGCAGGCCTATCAAAATTTCTATTATCATCACACAACTACTAGTCACCATCAACTTAGCATGATGAAGACTACCAACCTCAAAAGGACAGTCATCATAATGATAAGGGCGATGCATCATCTAGCTCAACATATTGCAAAGCCAATGCGGCAATATCCAAGAATGGCAAATAGCATCTCACATGATATGAATCCTAGAGTCCAAGGAAGTGAGTTTTGTAAAACTCAGTACTTTGATCCCCCTGTGCCCATTCCAGATGGCTGGATGGTATATGATTCAACAACTATGATACCTCTATTCAGTATCATAGAGGATGCTCTGTTATATCATCAATCTCATACACTTCAACCTCTTGTTCCTTCAAATGTGATGGAAAGTAGAGTCTCCTATCAAGATACTCACTCTGAAAAAACACATACAGGTCCAACAAATTTGAGAAATCTCAAAGGATATAGTGAATTCCACCCAAATTCTTTGAACAATAGAAATCCAGTTGACACACAATCAAAATTGGTCAACAATTCAGCCAATACCCATGATGGTAGCTCAGGGGTTGATAAAACCCCATACAAGTCACATCTTTTGAGGTTGTCAAGTGTACAAAAAAGGTTTGGAAGTCCACAGTATGTTCCAGTTACTATTCTGGGCAAATGATGCCATAGAAATGATGTTACTGATACTTGAAATGTTATTTCTTGGTGTATATGTAGTTCACAAGAGGCTGAGAAGATTGGTCACATTGGTGAAGATAAAACCAAGAAGGTAGAAACCTCAGAGCAACAAAGGTATTCTGTGATCATCACATTGTGACTGCTAGAAGGGGTATTGACATTCTCATTCAATTTTTGTTCAAAGTGATGGCAACTTTGAATCTCAAAACACATTTTTAAGAATCACCAATTCAAATGTGGGAGAAGATGTTTCCAAAGGCCTTAAATCTTTGGAGAAATCTTCAATGCCAGACTCTAAAGGGACACCAGCTGGAAATTATAATCTAGAAGACTTGACTATCAAAAGATATGATAAACCATCAACAGAGAAGAAATCTCTAATATTGGAAGATTATCAAGAAGGTTATCAACAAGAATTGATACCTAGAAATAATTTTGATGTGAGAACAACTGGTATAACTCCCAATAGACCTGTAATCTCTGATTTCAATCCTCATGGACCACACTCAAACCTGGAGAACAACTTATCCCATGAGGCTTATGATTTCTGTGAAGATGCAGCAAGTAAAATTGATACCTCTTTTTATGATGCAATATCAAACAAGGAAATCAAGGATTTGAATGATGAAAAAAACACATGTGTTCTTGATGATAACAAGACTGAGATGTCTGCGGAGAACAAGGAACACCTTCTAGGAGCACTATCTCATGATATCATTGGGTTTCAGAAGGCCTCAAAATCAAATAATCTAGCTGAGAATAGCAAAAGAGAGATCCCTGGTGATGGAGACATTGAGAGAAACAATATTTCTAGAACTGCTATTAGTTTGGAATCAAAAGCCGCTACCAAGGAATGGAGCATAGTCCAGAGCAGGAATAGTAAGACAAGAAATTGTTTTGTCTCAAAGGATCATAAACACCTTGAGGAGCCAACATTGCCACAACAATTTGCACCAAGCTCAGGAGATATTCCAGTCAAAAGTGATGACAAAGGTATCCAAAAAATACTGGAAAACCATAGTGGGGGAAATACATCATCCTCTATTAATACACTTCCTACACCTCTGGAGATGAAATTTGTAGAAAATGAAGCTCCTGTAAATGCACAAACAAAAGAAACTTTGTATAGGAAAGATTTGGATGTGGAAAAGGAAACTCAAGCATTCCAGCACAAAAAGAAAAAACACAAAAATACCAAGGCCTTGATAAAGTCAAAACTGAGCACAGATGGTAGAGAGGAAGATATTCATACATGTGATGAGCATCTTAAAAGCCTTCCATCCATTGATATGAGCAGTGGAACAACAAACATCCAAGATATCAAGTCATTAGTTTCAAAGATATTATGTGCTGATGATAAGGCTGACTTCCTAAAAATAAAAATTGGACCTGAAGATTGCAATCAGATATCATTATTATTAGGTTCAGGAAATCAAGGCCATTTATTGAATGAGATTTATGAACACACAAGAATGATGAAAAGATTGATGAACCCTTATGAAGCTTGGAGAAGATCACAAACTTTACACAGATATGTTGACCAGGAAAACACAATTCTGAAATGGAACCTTAAAAAAGGACAACTTGATCACAAAACCCATGCAGTAGCAATGCTTCTCAGGGTTGGCCAAAGATCACCTGTCTTTTATGATACAGCTCCTGGTAAATGGAAACTCATTAAATCAAGATGGGACAGCTTGAATGAAGTGCAGGCAGACTCACTGAATTCTCTGATTGATATCAAGGAGCAAGAAGCAAGGCTAGCCACAATCTCTGTTATGGAGAATGCAGATCAGCATTGGATGAAATCACTTTATGGAGAGTCTGAATTGCAACAGTTGAAGATGCAAGGTGTTTCTATCCCATTATTGTTCAAAGCAATATATGTTATGGATCTAGGTAAGCCAATCAAAGATGTGAGTTGGAAACATTTGTCACCCAAGGAAATTGCATTCAAAGGGAGGGAAATGTTTAGCTTGATGTTTGGGTTCATCAGGTTATCAGACAAATACTATGATACTCATCAAAAGAATTGGATTGCTACACCTTTACGTCACTTTATTCTGGAAGATCAGAGGTTGTCCCTTCATTTCCAAGCACGTTTGAAATTCTTAGTCAATAATACTCATGATGAAGATTTAGATGGCACATTGACCTTGGCAGAAGGATTAACAGCTCTCCATTTTGGAATCTTGCTTGACAGACTTACAGGAATCAAATTTTTGTCAAGTTTAGCAAAAGAAGATGTACAAATTTCTAATCAGGATATCACCATTGGTCAGGAAAGTAAAACCTTCTATTGGTCAACCCCATTGATGGGAAATTGGGACGAATGGAAGGTAGAACTTCAGCCATATTTGCAATTCCTTGGGTTAAAAATCCATCTTGTGAATTAACTGTTGATGCCTTCACAAATCAAAGTCTTGGCTACATACCTAAGAAAAGACCAATATGTATTGTTTTATAGTTCTTGGTCTAAAATTCTTGTGTTTTCTTCTCTTCTATACTTTGCTTTGAGCTTAGGAATATGGTATCAAAAAGGGGACAAAAGCCCCAAAGGAAATGATTGATTTATTCCCAATACTATAAAATCCCTTTTTGTTTGTTTCAAATTTTGTATTACAGGTTCTGTAAAACAAGTGGTTTTCCTCATGCAGGAGGAATTGTTTTCAGACTAAAAATTGAAGGGACTTCTGGAAGATGAAGGATGATGTCTGACTCAAGAATTCTTAGTGTCAAATCACATCTTCAATGGTCACATTGGGCTTCTTTTCTCCCACATGAGAATAAATAAGGTCATCCAATTCAAGGAGCTTCTTTAGCGATGAGGAATGGAGGCATGCAATATCACCAAACCTGCACAAATGGATACCTTCCAATGTAAAACCTGAAAGTTTAGAGAATTTCTGTGTCATGCTCATGTTGGCCATCAATATAGTACAAATTATTTTTGGGGTTATCCACTTTAAGAGACATGTAAATGCATGGTATGAATTCCTGGAGAGCCTTGTTTCCATATCATCTGGGAACAGCTTGAAGAGAAAGTGGAGTAACATCATAAAATCAATCTCCCCATTGCTACTTTGTAGTCAGAGTGACTTTCCAGTGAAGATAGATAATTCATCTTGGAATGCAAGATTTTAGGACATTGCCTCCTACAAAAGGCACACATCGTGGGACTGGTCCATGGAAAAGAAAGTGCGCGCTCTTTATGAAGATACAATTCCTAGAAAGTGCAATTATGTGAAAAGGGACAACCTATAGAGAACTCTCAAACCCAATCAGGTTAAATGATCTAGGACCTAAGACCTTCAGAGGAAGATGAGTCACAGCTCAATTCCTGTCGTTCTCAGATCACATCCTAGAAGAGAGCTATATAGCAAGCTACTCGTACTTGGCTTTGTTCTCTAGTCCAATTTTTTTATTTCACTAATCCTATCATCATCTCTTTTTCCATCTCCTAATCAACAATCCAATCTAGAGTCTTAATACTCCAAATAGTTATCTATTATTATTTTTTGAACCTCCCACCCACCCCCATGGACATGTACAGGTTTCGCGCAACTTAGAGGAGGGTTCACACTAGTGGTTTGAACTCTCCCCTAAGAAGAAACCTACAAGCACGTTTCTATTTCACTCCAGGTTTCAGGGGAAAAGGAAGCTTCCCCTGAAACCTACCGCCCACTTCTACTTCCTTACCTCACTTAGTAGAAACTAAGCAAGGTAAGGAATAACTTTATTAAGAAATGTAAGAGTTACTATTTGAGAATGGAACTTCTGCACAAAACGATGATCCTTGAAATCCATTTGAATTCCAGATAATTATGGACTGCACCATTAGGAAGGCATAGATGGCATTGGCAATTAAGATGGGAATATTGGGCTCATGAATGAGTCATTTTCTGAAAGCTTTGAATACATATATTGTACTTGAGAAAAACTTGTTTGAATGAACCAAGATCAATTTTAAACAAGCAGGAAGCACAACAGGGGGTTGTTTTTCATAGTGCTCATTGCATCTGCAATTCACACCTAATGTATATGGAGTATATTGTGTTAGGTACTACATATTTAGTGGTGTAGAAGGGTTTTTTTGTCACATGAAAGTCTCAGGTAAGATGCACTGCCAACATAGATACCTTAGTTCATGAAAGCCAAGGTATCACTGAATTCAAATCCTTGTGCAGATCTTGTCTGAGGTTGTGATCCAAGGTATTTGTTTGTGCCAATAGATACCTTGAATCAAATCTTTGTAAATATTCTGTCCAAGTATTTCAGTTCAATGATACATTGGATTTCCATTCTGAGGTAAATTTGTTGGCTGTGATGTTGATCTGGTCGACTCCTACACCACAAAGTATTGGGTACATGGTTTGGTAGGGACATGGCTGCTGGGAAACAACCCTGGGCCAGCAACGCAGGTGTTGCGTGTTGCGCTGCGCCTGCGTTGCGGTTTTTCTGACCGCAGCGCAACATAGAATCAAATTCTAGGTTGCGGCCTGACCCGCAGCGCAACATCATTTGTCAAATCGATGGATTTTTTGGGCCGCAACAACATTTGTTGCGTTGCTGCCCAAAAAAAATCACAGTTTGGCGTTTTTTGGCGCTGTTGCGCCTGTTGCGTTGCGCGACGGTCAAGGCGCCGCGCAACCTGACCTCACCTTTTGTTGTTGCGGTACTTACCGCAGCGCAGCATGTAATGCAGGTTTGTGCTGCGTGTTGCGGAGCAATGCACCAAAAAACACTCGTGTTGCGGTGCGTTGTGTTGCTGGCACAGGGTTGTGGGAAAGGACAAAGGGTGGATTTGTGATTGTATATGCATGCTACACCACAGCCAACATATTTACCTCAGACTTTTCAGTCCAAAGTATCATTGGACTCAAATCCTCAGACAATGTCTGTCTGAGTAAATATTGAGAAAAATTAGGATACATTATATATGTTATAATCTATTTGGGACAATTTTGTCAGTGCAAAAAGGTACATGATGTATCACATGTGGTTTCATTATTTAGATGAGCAGACAACTGAGAAGACCTGTATGTACATGATTGTAGCCATTTACTGTGCCTGCTGCACACATGTAGTGTGGGTTTTATGGTTCAGGTGTGCAGTGGTAGATCCTTATATGACAAACTATACTCTGAATTTTTTTTCCATTCCTACTCAGGGATAATGTATAATGTTCATAGTGCATATAGTGATATGAATAAAATATAGCTCACTGGGTTATGAGTGTGTTTACTTAGTGCAGTTTTCTAGAAATCGGTTTCTAGGGGACCTCTTTTGTACATGTACAAAAGTCTTTTTTTAATGAAATGTCTTAATTTCACTTTTTGAAAGGAAGAGCTCACAAAGAGAATGACAAGTCTTTTCTTTTAAGCTCAACAAGGCACAGAATGGTATTGGTGATGGTACAAACAACCATCACCAATGATGTCAGATTCAGATTCATTTGTCTCAAACTCCACAGCATCCTCAACCTCACTTAGAAGGATCAAGCTGCTCAAACGTGTCATCTGAGCTGGTAAAGAATACCCAGAGACCCCCTCTTGCATGTCAAAGCTTTGTGGAAATGAATACACAAAAGAAATCTTACAAGGCTCTGACATCATACTGTTTTGAGCACTGAGTTGCATGGACAAGCTTGCCTTCAGTTTGATTTTTTCCAGAGTTTTTTTTGATTGAAGCAACTGGTGTCAAAGTCAAGCGATTATTGATGGCATTGTTGCTACCAGAATGAATTAGACATAGTTGAGGTGATTGGATACAGTGAGATGAAAGAAATGAAAGGTAATCAAGAGGATGGTAAAGTCAATGAAGGTGAAGAGTTATGTGTTGTATAATTTCTGAGGTTATGAGATGGTTTTGGATAGGTTTATGACTTTCTGTACAGTGGACAGGGATTTGTCCCAAATTTTCAAAGAAGTCAGAAAGTGTGGAAAGGGGATAAAATTTGCTAATATCAAATCAAATTTTGGAAAGTCACTTAAAAAGCAATTTTTATAAGCATTTTGTACATTACAGAATGCTTGGAAATATCAACTTGGCACTTACAGAAATCAAACCACCTAACTCTAAGGCCGTGTTTGGTATAGCTCACAAAAATTGGGAGAAATGTATCATTTTTTGAAAATAATGCATTTTACACTTTTTCAAAAAAAGTCATTTGTTATTGATTTTGCCCTCTTTTGCCCCTCTTTTTGAGAGCCATTCTATAGTCAATAATCTATCATTTTTGATCATTTTGAAAGCTGCTCTAGACCAGCTTTCAAGTTTTAAGAATCCATCATTACCTGGCGGAAACCTTACAACTTGGGGCTTGGTCTTATGAAGACCACTTCCAATCAAAATTTTGCCCACAATTCTTTCCCCATCATGCTCACTGAACAGTTCTATGTACAAGTGGGGCCGGAAAAGATATGGCACCAGTTTACTCCGCCGGCCCCGACTGTTGTACTGGGCGGAGTGAACTGGTGTTGTGTCTTTTCCACCCTCACTTGTACATCTCAACTTGCTTCCAATTTTTCTCATAGAACTCGGTCTATAAGAGAAAATTCAAACTTTGTTGAAAATCATCAATCCAACTTCGATTTGGGTAACTCAACATTGGTCTTTGCTAGCAACTTGAATGAAACAATTCACACAATCTCATAGACCCATCAATGCAATGATTCTATCCAATCATCAATGACGCAATCTCTGAGACAAGTTGATTTCCAAATGTCCAAAATCAAATTGAACAATAAGAATCAAGATGATGATAGAGTATCATTGATAGTCAAGTTTGGTGAATGGTATATATCAAACACCATTGATTGATTTTTGAGTTGAAAATTGAATTTTGAATTTGAAAAGTGACTTCAAAAAATAATGGATTATACAATGCATAATCTTTTAATTTTTAATATATTTACAAAAGTAAGCCATACCAAACGGGGCCTAAGTGTGCTAGGCCAAAACTTTTGAACAAAATTATTGTCAGGAAGGGCATACACAGACATAGCCATATATCTCCTTCCTCACAATTAAACCTTATTACATACATATAACTACATGTAATTAAACAATTACATGTAGTAATAAGCTGAAAGAACCCGTAACAAATGATTACATGAAGTTACAAATATGTAATCATCAATTACTTGAGTAATACACATAGTACTTGATTTCTACTATTCTTTTCCACTTATCACTTTCTCTTAACTTCAATTCAGTTTCTCTTTTTCTCTATTTTTGTTTATTCAAAAGATGGTCAATATTCAATAAACAAAATACTCACGGATCAATTTGGAAGATGATCCTAAAGTGATTTGTTTAATGATGATCTGTCCAATACACACATGTGATCCTAGTTCAAGCTACTAAGCTGGATTGGGAACCCAACTTAATAACTGATCATCTGAAACTGATCTTCTTGGCATGTGATGGCCGCCAAGAAGGGAGCTCTAGGGTCCTTGTGCTAAAAGGATGGATTGTTATTGAATAACTCACAAGGGTGATTCAGGATTAAATGGTGGATCAAATTACACACGCTAAAAGGAATGGTTCACATGTGCACATCTATTTGTAATGATCATTTGAGATCTTCTACACATCAATGAACAGTTGTTTGTGTGATATGTTCATCATATTCTATTTGTAGAGTTTTTTCTTATGCTGCTGTGCGCTTTCTGACTTGTTCTGACAGGTATATAAACCCTAGCTATTGTCTTGTTTCTTTTGTTCCTCATCCTTTACAATAACCAATCAAGTTTACCAAGCTTTATAAACCAATAAATCCCTCCATAACAACCTCCAAAAGCCCTTACAAGTCCCTTATAAGCCCTTTCAGTGTTGGTATCCACGGATCTGGTCTTTATTCTGCTACTTCTCTCTTGATTACTATTGTCAAACTGCTGTCCTACATATGTGAATCATATGTAATTAACCTGTAACAGTTCTATATCAACTATTACATGGTTATTTCCTTGCTCAATAAGCTTTCTTATTGACAATTATCACCAAAAAATCATCACCCTACGGGGTGGCTAGCAGTCCATACAAGATAACCTTTAAACCAAAGAATCACAACAAGAACAAAAAATAAAAACAAAAATCAACCACACCAAAGATATATAAAAAATAACTAAATTAAACATAAGAATCTCACTAAATAAACATTGCCAAAACAAATATAAAAAATGACCATGCTAATGAAAAAAGAAAAGAAAATAATAAGAAAAAATGTGTTTTCTGATATAAACTTCACGAACCACAACATAAAATAATAAGCAATAAGATAAATATCCATCTAAAACAATTCCCTAAAAAACAACCCACAAAAACTGAAAAGAACTAAAAAATCTTTCAGAACATAGGGAGGGAAGGGAGGGATTTCAAAAATCAACTCTTTAACACTAAGATTGGTATGAGAAAAAGAGAAGAACAATGGAAATTTGTATGACGTCAACACACCACTCAATTATAAAACACAATCCGACCCGACTTCTTTACATGAAATTTTCTCATATGTACCTATCATATGATATTCCCATAGGTAACTAACAAGTGACCTACATCTATAAATAACAAACCAAAGCGTTCTGCAGAACACAATTTCTGTGCTGTGTAAAAAGCAATTTATACATAGTCAGAAATTGCTTAAGTGAACGGGCTGTAAGTATGTGGCATACTTTGTATGATGTAACCTTTCACCCTTAAGATATGGACCCCCTTTGCCTATTATTGAATGCAGCAAAGAAACAAGTCAACTTGCCTTAGGGCACGCTTGACCCTGATGATCATCAACACATTAATTTCCAAACTTAGAAGCAACTCCATGCCAAATTTGATGTTCCACAGTATCTGGTTGGTCAGCTTTTGGGGATTGGCTAGATTAGGAGAACTAGTGTTCCACAATCATGATCCCTTGGTCTTCATTTGCCAAATAGATGTCAAGTTTTCAAGCAATTTTGACATGGTGTCCATCCGCCTGAGAATGGCAAAGACCACTGCGCCAGGGGAGCTAAAATATCTCCACTGGACTTGTCAACCCAAAAGACTTGATCCAACCAAATCTTTACAAGATATCCTAACTTTAATGGAAGGTACACTGGACAATCCTCAACCAATGAGGAGAGCCTCTTTTTTTTTTTTTTTTAAAGTGCATTTGGCATTTATTGCATAAGTAAAACACTAGTGCTTTTCATCTTGGAGATACAACAGTAATATCCTCGGGTCGGGTTCGAGGGGTCGGTGCACATGAGCTGCACGCTTTAACCCAATTCGATTCCCAATTTCCCAGTGATCTTACCAAGCTACAGTTCCTTTCTTTGATCACTTCATCACTTTTGACATCGGACATGGCTACTGCCAGTACAGACGACCGAGCTGAAATGCAGAATCTCAATGCTCTACTGAAAAAGTCTCTTTCGTTTCTAAACTTCAAGCCTGGACCAAGCTCGGCCTTCTTGATGCCCGGTGTATCTGCTGCCTCGGCTGAAGCCACTCGTGCTGTGCTCACTGTTGAGTCCAATGATGATTCTCTCAAATCACTAAACGATAATGTTATTGTTCAAACTGCTTGGCTAATTTATGTGCTGCTACGATGTTCACAGGAAAATACGGAAAAATATCATTGCTTTTTCAATGACATGCACTTTCACAAGTTCTTCAGTTTCGTATCATAAGTCCACTCCTGCAGATACTGATCAGATGATCCTACTTCACTTAGTCATATAGCCCATCATGTATTGGCGATGTATTCGCTTGGTGCACCGCCAGCCTTGATCAAGGTAAATGGTCTGACCTGACCGCCCCTTTTGACTATTGCTACATGCGTGCTGAGTCAGCTCACGTCGCATCTTCCTTTCTCAAAGGCCGCTTTCGAGCATGAAGTCCCAGAACAGGTCTGTCAGCTTTGGGGGTTCAATCCACAACTTTGCCACTGCTACGAGCGCAACAGGTTGACTGAAGCAATTTTTTTCTCAGAGACCTGCGCTCCCACCAGCATTAGGTAAAATATTTGATGAGAAAAATTGGACTATACACTTGGGGGATGATAAGTTTGTGTTCAGAATCTCTTTACTTATAAGACTGCATGACGGAAACAAGCTCTAACTCCAGACTGCGCAGATACTATCCCAATTACTTGTCCTTCTTTTCCACCGAGGTAGCTCGGTTAGGCGCCGTGGATGCGGTAGATCATTATGTCTTTCGCCAAACTGAAGGAGATATGTTGAATCGGTTAGCAAATCGGTTCGATCGGTCCGTCGCACTCTGACCATGCTAATGATGCGCACATTGCTTGTTTGATTATTTACCGATCTGAACGTAAGATCTTTGGGAGGCGTTTATCATCCTAGTTAGTGTTCTTTGACATTTGCTTTTCGGAATGTGGCTCATAACTTTTTTCCCGTCCAGTGATTCATGTACGCCGCATGGACTGAATTGATCCTTTCCAGAACACTGCTCATGTTAAAATGCGCCTGTAGTGGGGTTATGGTCTTGAATTTTCCATCGACGGCGTCGTAGCGGAAGGTGAATGCTCCAATCTTTGGCCTTGATGATTGATCGAGTAGTAATTCTGTCTGCACGGCCAGCGTAGGTCTTGCGATTGCCGCCGTCCATTCTACCGAATTGAGCAAATTGCAGTTCAACCATTTGATCAAGATCTCACAGGAAGTATCTAGCGTCATAGGAGATGACAATCCGAACAACAAGCCTAACTTTCAAGCTACTGTTCAACAGCTCAGGTTGCATGAGGTCGCCTCTCGCGCTCGTCGAGCTTCCGAAGGCCTGACCGCATTCGAGGTTGTTATTCTCCCCCTTCCAGATGTCGATCATGTCGTTTGCGCTGCAGATATCACTTTAATTGATTTCCAAACCTGTTATTCTGGTAAACTAGATCCTCAACAGGGTGGCAAATGATCCACAATTGGAACCGCCACAAAATCGCCCCTCAGATCCGATAGCCTCCCTCGCCGATACCTGTGAAAAAAAGTCAGATAAAATGTTGCATTGGACTGATCAGTGGCATTTCCAGCCTGAATTGCACTGGAATGAGATAGTAAGCAAAACTGAGGAGGTAAGAGTTTTGAGAAGCAGATCGAATTTGGAGACCAAACTACTTTTCTTATGCAATACTTTCCTCATTGCGGTTTTGTTCGCGTTAGTTGTGCTGGCTGGCCGTTGCAATTTACGCCTCCAGTTACCAGGATGGACCATCACCATACCAGCTCGACTTTTTTTTGTCAGCATGTTCTATTTGCTGAATTTCGTTCTGCTCGTTGAAAGGCGTGGTAACCAATCCTTTTTCTGGTGTGTTCACAGGTTACATGGCGTCACTTCTTGCATATTTCTCCCAACAATCCTCCAGAACCTATCCAAAGCATCTCAAAAGGTGCTGCTAACAAGTTATTTTCGTGTATGTCTTTTCTTTGATTTGACCTCACCCTTGTAGATTGATATAAAGCTTGTGTTGAACCCAATCAGTCCGTCATTGCCCTTTGGATCTCACGGGGACGTCCACCACTTCACCTTTCGCAAGAATTGGGAGCTAAAAATATGGATTTACACGAGGTAGACATTAGCAAAAACTGGCAAGCGATGATCTCTAGTGCAATGACTCATTCGGATGAACACACTACGAAAGTAAGCTTCGAAATTCAACCTAGTCCATACCGAGCCAACCATTCTGGTAACGTGCCATGGTCAGAGCATTTATATACATATTCTTCTCAAAAATTAGACCATCCGTACGCTTGCTTGGGCTTCCCAATTATTCGGGCGGGCATCGCAGGGTGTATACGCCTGTGAATTACCGGGTTCGGGTGAACTTGATGGAAGTATCTTTTATCGCGTACGTCAAAGAACTGGGTTGAGATCTTGTATAGACCATTAACAATTGTGATGCATGTCTAGGCTGCCTTGAAAACCTTGGATAAACAAGGGTGGAAACGCGATGCGAGGACTGAAACCCGCGCTTTCTTATGGTATTGACATCAACGCTGAATGTTTCCATTTCTCATCCACATCTTTCTTATCAAGAAGATCTTGTCCTTCTGTTTGAATTGTATATTAGAGAGCCTCCTAACGCTGCACTTTTTTCCCCATCGTTAATGTGAATATGTACGTCTACTTGAAAGTCTGCATGCAATCCTTTTCCTCAAATGTAGAGCCCAACCATAGCGCATAATTATTGAAGTTCTCAGATGATACAAATAAGATGTCTACAAGGCGCAGCGATGAGCAAGAAAAGACATAGGTTCTACCAGTTTACACACTCTTGGATTTTTGCCTTTGAGGTACCAGAGATCTATGAGTTGTCTTTGTGAGTTACATGGGAGTGTCTGGAGATATGTCATTGTGGAAATGGGTTGAATTAGAGCCCCAAGCGCAACCACAGGGGCCAATTAAGACAGGAGACAAGAATCACCAGCTTGCAATTTTTGCCCTGTTCTCTCTGTGTGCTTTTTGGGTCACTGATTGTCCCTGATCTTGGGCTTCAATCCTTAGCCCAGCTTTCTTAGTATCATTCCAGGATGTCTTCACACCTCAAGAAACATTATTGTAAAACCCAATGACTTTCTTCAATTGTAAGTCTTGTTTGCAATTGGTTTGTCTGTTTGTAGAAAAATATCAAAAGATGTGTTCAAGGTAGTGGCATCTATACCCCTCCTGGATCCTGTAGTATTCTTTGTTACCTGATGTTTGCAGTGGATTTTTTTTGGCTTTCTAAACTTTTTTACCCTTCTCACACGACTCAACTTATAACATCACCCAAATTCGGTCTTACCGTCTTCCTCAGATCTTTCTTCCTCATCGTTTCCCAAATCTAAAATTCATATCCAAAATGACCATATCAATGATGTTAAAAAAACAAGTGAATTGATGGAGGTTTAGCATTGAGAACCTAGAGATTGTTGTACAAAGTCAGAAAGATTTACTTAAAGTAAAACAGTCAAACATCCAAACACTTTATGAAAAAAGAAAGGACAACAGAGGAAAAGAGAAAATAGATGCTCAAAAGCTATTGAGTGATGATATGAAAAGACAGATAAGAAAAGTTGTAAATCCAAAAAGACGATGAAGTTCCATAAAGTTTACAAGATCGATGAAACTAATTGAATCCTACAAAAGAAAATGAAGAATCTTCAATCACTTTGAATGGGAAGCTACATCTTTTCCAGCTAATTCTACCACTAGACCAATCACAAGTTTCGAGAATTCGGCCATATCTATCATAACAAGATTCAAATCCAAACAAACCAATTTAAATCCAAATTCAAATTCAAGCATTGAAAGATTAAAAACAAGAACTTACGTTCGAAGCTAAACTCAGGGAAATCAAATCGATCGTTTGTAGAATGAATACGATGATTAGAATCTTCAAAAGTCGATTCGATAGCAAATGCACTTGGAACTCCAATCTTGGTAAAACTTGCATGATCAGAACAAGCATAACCACATTTAGTATTAACCCAACCGATCTCAAGGTATTCATCAATAATCAAACGAAGATAATCTACAATGATATGAAAAGTTTCAACTGTCAGTTTCTTTCAACTATTCAGGGATGCAGACAAAAGGGTTACAAACCTGTTAAAGCTGGATCAACAAAATCAGTTACTAATCCGACATTAGGAACCGTTCCTTGTTTGACGAATGCAGTCATATCAAATTGAACCATTCCACTAAGATTACGTTCTTGAGTATAATAAGCTTTAGTGATATCTTGAGATCCTAACAAACCACCTTCTTCAGCCGAAAACCACATGAATTCAACAGCTCCTTTATTAGGTTTAGGAGACCAAGCATGAGATAACAAAACACTAAAAGCTTCTAAGATTGAAGTGGTACCCGATCCATCATCATCTGCACCTGGAGCTGCAAGAAATGGTAAAAGGTTCGTGGAATCTTGATGAGCTCCAATGACAAAAGTTTGACAGCTTTCCAAGCTGGTCTCATCCGATTCGGGATGTGCTTCGAAACGGGCAATGATTGAATTTTGACCCCATGAATGTTTGAATTCAGAAACGGTGACGTTTGAAGGAGATAAAGCGACCATCTCATTGATTAAGTTTAGTAACCAAGCTTGACTTTTTTGACCAGTGGAAGATCGATAATACCTGATGATGATGAGGCCAATGAAGTTAGTATAATTGGCCATGATTGAGTTTTTGGAAAAGTGAGTCTTACCTAGTTCTAAACTGAGTAAACTGAGTCAATCGAGACTTCATTCGGGCAACCTGAATATCCTTCAACATATCCTTCAAATGAGTTTTACCCCAAGAAATCTCAGTAGGAAATTCGATTGGATGATTCTTAAGAATCTCATCTTCTTGATCATCTTTGCCCACAAATCCTCGAATCGAATTCTCGACTTCATCTGTCACATCTACAAACCTTCTACCTTTCTCAAACCAAATCACCAAAGCCTTTTGTCCTTCAGTTAACCATTCTTGATGTCCATCTGACCATCTTAACAATCTAGGTTGATTTAAACTTTCCAAATGGTTTGATAATGAATTGTAATCTTCAATTGAAAGTGATGAGAATTGATTAGAATTGGATCTTTGTTGACTTTCTGTTATGATTTGTTGAAAACTTGGTAATCTTGTCAATGGTTTTTCAGTCTTGAATTTGATGAATTGTTGGTTTGGTGTTTCTGATCCGAAACTGATTTGTTGATGAATTGATGTATCTAAGATTGAAGTTTGAACTTGATGGATGGTCAATTTCAAGACCACGATCGTTAAGAATTGAAGTTTTGAGAAATGTAAGTTCATGATGGTTGATGATTTGGTAAAATGATGGGATGATACAAATATTGATGGTCTGGAGTCTACTGATCACCATCCAATCTGAATTTGAATTGATCGTGGTTGGGACGTGTTTTAACCTAGGGGAATAGGTAGTGGCTTAGGGAGTTTACGAAAACGGAAACGAAGAATCTTATTGCTATTCTCATCTTGGATGATCGCTGTGTCAAGTGGTAAAGAGATCATTAATGGTTTTCAAGCTTTTGTAAAAATCTCTTCATATCTTCTGTGTAGATTTTCAAGAACCATTTGTCCCATTCATCTTTCTTCTTTACCGATTTAGTCTCATCCATAGTATTATCAACAAAAAAACCTTTGTGTTCTTTTACATTAGCGGTGTACAAACCTACAACCCAACTTGAAAACCCATAAAAAAAACCCATGAAAACCCAACTTTTTAATGGGTTTTTTTCATGGGTTTTTTCACATGGGTTAAAATCAGCTAGATGTGACCACCCATTTGTTAATAAAAATTGAGTTATGGACTCAACAAACCCTTCCCCATCCTTGCCAACGCAACAAACCCAAATAACCCATATCCATCCACAAATCAGTCCCACACCCGCACCAAATCCAACTTCAAACTCCGTTCAAACTCCTTCAGTTACAATCAGCACAAACACGGTGGGATCTCAGCCTAATCCAACCTCAAGCCCATTTGTAATCCCAACCCTTTCCCCATCGGATTGGGCTCATACTCAACAAATCATCTCCTCCAATCCATCAGCCAACTCGATCAGCCAACCAGCCTGTGCACCCTCTATCTCTGGTATGGCTACTCCTGACCCACCTAAGAAGCGGCGAGGACGGCCTCGAAAACCACCAGCACCACCTTCTCAAAAGCCTCCCAAGAATTCCAAAGCCATTCAATCATCTCAAACTGAGTCTAATACTCAAAATCAAGCTACAGAAGATTCTCAAGTCAATACTCAAAATGATAATGATGAAGACACGGACACCACCAAGCCTAGAAAATGCTGGTTCACCCCTTCTGAAATTGATGGTAAATCAGACATAGATCTTGTTGCTGAATGGTGCAGCAATTTTGAGAATTATAATGCTTGGCGTACACAACAGAAGAGTGTTGTTCGTGAACGAGTTGCAGCTTACCTTGTTTCAAAGGGGCATGCCGGCAGAACAGGTCGAGAGTGCGAGAAGAAGGTAAGTGTGCTGCTTATATCTAACTGTGTTATGAGCCCTCTTGACTTTTCATCTTTACATGTAGATTGGAGCCCTTGCACAATGGTTCCACGAGGCTGATTCTCTCCGAAAAGCGACTGGGGAAGGGAATAAGGATGCTGATGTCGATTTCACTGTTTCAAAGGACGAGATTGCTGCATTCAAGTGGAGTAAGAGAAGAGTCAAGAAATGTGAAGAAGAAGGGGGAAGTCTTGAAGGTACGTGCATCTTGTTGGATCTTTGTGTGTTTTATATTGACCAACTATCTTTCTGAAATAGTCAGAATACTGCGTAGATGTCCATGGTATGAGGAGCTGGAGCCGGTACTTCGAGATCAACCATCTGCCAGCCCTTTGGCCTCTAGAGATTCGCTAGGTGATCAAGTACAGCGTTTGACAAATTTGATCCAAGATGAACCATCTCAAAGTCCAACCGAAAGCGATGTGCCTTACACATGGGAAGATACACCTCCACGGCTTGAGGTTCAAGACGATCTACCAGCTTCCCAAACACTTCCCCCACCACCACCACCTAGCCTTCCTCAAGCCACTCAATCCAAGTCGTCTCGACCAGTCACCCCTTGTAATCCACCCACCAAGCGTCTTCGAAGCAACACTAGTTTCTCTACCAGCACCAAAGAGTCCCCTCAAAACTCTCTGGATTTTGTTACTGCGCTGAATTGTCTCCCTACGAAACAAGATCAAGAAGAGATGGAAATGCGTGCTATCACATCCCAAGAACGAATGAACTCTGAGTTCACCAAAGAAATGTCCAAGATGATGACAACTAATCGAGCTACGGAAATGGCCACCAAAGAAAGCATTGCAATCTCAAAGATGAACGTCGAGATACGAATTGCTCGTAGCAAAATGGTCGTGGATCTTATCCGCGGAAACATGGACCCAAGCGAGGCGGAGGCCCTGGCTTTGCGTTCATTACCGGATGTCCAGCCTGTTCAAACACCGAGTCAGTTACCAGTTCCCGAGGCCTCCGTGTCAGCTTCTCAATCGTTCACCACCCAAAGTAACTGAGTCGGAAATTTCATCATATGGTTGATATCAAAGACATAACGCTTTTAATTCGATTTGATCAAAAAGTTCATCATCATTATCAAATCATCTTCCTCTTTATATTGTCAAGACTTATTCACATCCAATCAAATTAAACTAGCAATTTATCATTTTCATCGTGAAGAACTGATTCTACAACTAGGTGATGATGTTTTATCATTCACAGTTCTTTTTTAGCGTTTTGGATACTTTCAAACCTTTTTACTTTAATCGATTGACTACATTCACTTTTTATTAAACCGTTTTGATTACAGGAAAACAATCAAGTTAGTTCTACGAACCGAGTGACTCGAGATGATCGTTTTAACTTCAATCGATTATCTATGTACAAGTACCTATTATCGCAGAGTTTTATTTACATGAACCCAATCAAGTTAGTTCTAGAGACCGAGTGACTCGTTTGGATCATTTTAACTTCAATCGATTATCTATGTACAATTACCTTTTATCGAAGAGTTTTATTTACATGAAACAAATCAAGTTAGGACTCGATAATGAGTGACCTTTTTCAATGAATTTTACTTTAATCGATCATCAACAACCAACTTTTATTGGAATGTTTTGATAACATGAACCTATTTAAGTAAGTTCTAGACATCGAGTGACTCCTACCAAAGTTGATAAATGCTATCATATTTTTCCTGCTTGTCTATCTGATCTATGGTGATTTATAAACATTACCAAAATTATAAAGTTGTATCTATCTTGAATACAAATTAAAAGTATGCCTGCAATATAAGAATTGTGTCTCTCTCTCTCTCCAAGGTTTCTTTCAAACCTTGCAATGCGATAAAGCAAAAGAATTTGTTCTCGAAAATTAGACTCCAAATCAACTTTTAAGCAGACTTCTGCTTAAAATTAAGATATCGTTCTAATAAAAAAACAATTGATTTCTTATTGACTTTCCAATCATGGAGTGAGTACAAGTTTGTTAGATCTCTTAAGGTATAAGTGTGAGATAAAATTTCAAATCAAGAATAACCTTTGTCAATACAAAAAGCACGGAATAACGATTCACGGCGTGAACTTCCCAAAGAATCCAAATAAGCCAGCCTTTGAGCTTGGCTTATAGTGTTGTCTTCAGCTTCCGAGCTAGCACTTGTATGAATTCCGACCATTGCCGAACCATCCACAATCAAGAAGTTGTGGATGACCACACATGCAGAGATCCAATCACATACATATGCAGCCTCTTTTGAGTTCCCAATTGATAAACGCAGCTCGTGAAGGGAACCGAATCGCATCTGTAACATTCCATTGCAGTGTTCTGATGCGATTCGGATTTTAGAAATTGACTTGTTGAAGTGATTTTGAGCTTCGGAAAGCGCCCCAGATCGTGATCGTTTGAATACCGGTACGATGTGTGCCACGGATGCATAGCCAGAGTCTGCTAGGATATACTCTCCCTCTGAAAAATGAGAGGAGATATCCTGGTAGAACTAAAGTGTTTATAATCAGTTCAAATGCAGAGATAGAGTGAGAGTGAGAAAAGCACATACACGAGTTGATTTCAACACTCGTTGATCGTGTGCACTTCCACACCAACCATGATGAGCGTACAGTATTTTTCAATGATCATCACAAATTATAAGAGAATTCAAAGCGTAGATTGACTTTCGAGTGTAGTAATCCTCCTTGTTTTTGGAGGGAGCGTACGCTAATGGTACCAAAGTTCCATCAATAAACCCAACACAATCTTGAAACCAAGAAGTCCGACCAATACGTTGCTTATTTTCAGCTCGCTCATCAGCATTTGGCCATCGTACAAATTCTGACTCAAGTTCAAGAATAGCATGGATACAGTGTTTAGTATAATTTTCCACACTTCCCTCTTCCAAGAATCAAGAACCAAGCATTAGTCTAAAATCAAAAGAGAAGAGTTTTACAGCAGAATGTTTTGCAAACCTGACACGTAGAACGTCTTTGCCTTCATACTACAGGATCCTCCATTTCCGTATAACCCTAAATTAGCCAAAGCCACTAACAGCTGCCACTGGACCGGTGCCTGATTACAAGTTGAGTTATTGTGAAAGATAGGACACCATGCGATTCGGTGAAGAAGTTTTGTAAACGCATCCTTTGACATGCGTGCCTAACAGTTTGAGACAGTAGATGATCAAATAATCAATTCACAGGAGGATGTATATACTTAGTGACTTGAGCTTACAGCCATGAACCAAGTGCGATCGGATTCATCAAACCAAGCTTGAAAAGATCGATCCTTCTCACTAACACGAGGCCGACGGTGTCTTGGTAGTGGGTATCTTCTTCTTTTGGTTTCTTCTCGTATCATCAATAGAACTCCTAAAGTTGATCCCTCCTCTTCCAATCTTCTCTTTTGTTGTTGGATGTATGAACGCTGGTTCATGGACAGTAAAATCATGACTGTGTAAGAAAAGATGATGATTTGTTCTTCATACCCAATATTATCGTCTGAATCGTTGTTGTCGTTATTTTCATCATTGTCGGATTTCATGAAGGACACCATCATCAAACAAAAGATTAAATTTGGAAAGAAACTGGTGCTAGTGGATGGAGTTGTGGTTGAAGATGCGAGAAGAGAGATGTGAAGTAAAATCAAGGTGTCCAGTGATGACAGGAGCTGCCTGCGGCCTGTGACTCTAGGCATTTGTTGGGATGTGATGGGAGTTGGAGTGTTCAAACCTTTCCAGGCGACCCATGTGAAAAAACCCATGAAAAAAACCCATTAAAAAGTTGGGTTTTCATGGGTTTTTTTTATGGGTTTTCAAGTTGGGTTGTAGGTTTGTACACCGCTATTATTTACAAATTTTTTGTTTCCCACCCACCCTCCCATTATTCTTATTGTAGTGTTGTACGGCCGCCCTCGGGGCCTCAGGTTACGCTTTAGTCTCACTGCAATTCGCTCAGACCCTCCGGGGCCGTCCAGCGTTTTTACAAAATCAAATACAAAAGTTCGAGTTTCGAAAAACGAAACTTCCGTGCCTAACCTCTTCCACTCATTGGATCAAACTAGGGCCGGGTCAAGATAATTTTCGGGAAAAAGCTGGGTCGGTCCGGCACCACCACTCTGACTCGACGCAAGGTGAGCGCAAAGCCTGATCAATTCACAGAGGCTCACCCTCACAATCATATCTTGGACTCACCACACCCTCAACATGCAAGGCACCAGAAGGAAGCAGGATGATCAAGATGAAACTTGAGCAACATGCACGTTGGCCAGAAGAGCAAGACGCGCTTCTGACTCACCAGAAGACTTCATTTCCTTGTTGCTCAACTCTCTTATTCGTGATGAAAGTAGATCGAGTCCCTTTTCTGTTGAAATTCATCCAGTGCCCCTACATACAAGCTAGCTGTCTCAAATTGAAACCTCTTCAAGGATGTAAATCCATGTTTGAAGACAATTCCTCTGACAAACATCTTCCATGGTACTAGTAGAAGAGTAATGGATGAACTCTAGTCTAACAGTATTGCTCGCCATCAAATACTGTGTTTGATGGTACAATATTCCTCACTCCTCAATAATAATTCAATACTGTTTGTTGTTGTACCAGACAAATTTTAATTATCTTCAACTCTACATATATATACGATTGTGTCAATCTCAATCAATTCATCATTTCACTAAACTATTCAAGTCAAAAACAAATCATAATCTAGAAGAATACATACAACTCTAGATGACTTTAACAAATTCGAATCATTCACATATATATATATATCAATAAATCTAACACACAAAAAGACGAAAAACCTTATGATCATGAACAGTATACATTAAATATCGTTAGAAAAACATTTTTTATGATAATTAGTTGTACCTTGAAACATAACATCATCTTACTATTGAAGAAAAGGATTTTTTTATAATCAAAATAAACAATCAAAAGTGTTACAAAAGAAGAAAAAAGTCTATGGTTTTTATTGATAAATAAAAAGAAAATGAAATGAAATCTATACAAAAAAAAAAGAAATATCAAGAAATCTATTTATATGGAAAAAAACAAACAAGGGAATTCTTCAAGTGATTCATAATTCAAGAAATTCATTAAATCCAAAGATTTCAAAACATCACATTGCATTACCATGAACAATTAATTCAATAGGTTTCTGATTTACATCAATCTCATGATACCCGATTTGTTGATGAAGATCTAAATGAGTATCAATACTAACTTGTGATCCGATCTTTGAATCTGAACGAATTTGATTAAGACCGATTTCTTCAGTAAAGAAACTATTTGCTTTAGAACTGATGGTATGAGATTCATCACTACTATTACCTGAAACCGAATCAGATCGATGGGACAAAGAGTTTGCCAAACTATGACTTCCTTGTAATGTAGAACTAGAGTTTAAACTTTCGGTGATGCTTTGGTTTGGACTTCCTTGACTGTCAGATGAACTTGATCTAGATAACTTCGAACTTCCAATACAGCTTTCGGTATAACTTCCAGTGATGGATGATCCATTTGTTGGACTTTCACTTTGAAGACTACTAGATCCATCTTCAACCGAAGAAGAAACACATGATTCTTCTTCTTCTCGAATCATTTGTGATAATCTATACGTTTTGCTTTGATGATCGGCTGCAGGTCCTTTGAATCTAGTCGAACGATAATCAGGTGCAGGTGCAGGTGGACGATAAGTTTGAGTTTCGATCGGTTTCTTATGTGATGCATTAGTTGATGAAGAATTACTTCGATCAAGTGAGTTGATTCCAGGTGAAAGTTTATGACTTGGTTCGTTTAACAATCTAGCAGGGATCCCAAGACTTGCCCATGCAACTGCAATACTTGATCTCCATGAATTAGGTCTGTTTTGTAATCGATTAGATCTTAAATGGACTCCTGGCACTTGTAAACCTTCATGATTCGATTCAGGTGAGATTTGTTGTGAACGTAGTGAAGGTGTTTGATTGATCGCAATCGTGTTTTTGTCACCTGCTTGAGTGCCTTCTTTTAGTAACAAAGATCTAGGTCTACTTGATCTGATGATCCCTTTTTTTCCAAAATATCCACCTTCTTTAAACTCATGACCATCTTCATGACTTTCCATCATACTACCATCACTTGAAGTTGAACTTAAATATTCTCCTTTTTCTAAATCTCCTCCTTTCTTATTCATGGTGACTTTCTCTATACCTTCTACTATATTCTTACGTTCGTTTGCATCTCTACGTCTTCTACGCCAAAATAATAATCCAGCAATGATTCCAATGAAAAGGATCGTTAAGATTATCAAAGCAGTTCCACCTGAATGTAATGAACTGTTTCCATCATTCTTAGCAGAGTTCTTTGAGGATGAAGTGGCAGTAGTATTAACATTGGTATGAATAGCTGTGGTATTAGATTGTTGATTAACTGCTTTTGGTATGGTAGAAGATTCTTGGTTGGTAGTCTTGGCAGGAACGATCACAGATTCGGGAGTTTTGTTACTTGCAGGAACTAGAACGGTTGAAGTCTCATTGGGTTTGACTAGGCTTTGAGTTGGAAGTAGAGTGGATGAGGGAGATAATGTTGAAGTTGAAGTTGATATACTAGATTGATTCAGATCAGTAGGAGGAGCTTCTATGAATGATTTGGGTATAGTAGATTGCAAAGAATTTGGAGTACTAGAAGTGATAGGAATTGAGCTAGATAATTTCGTATCAAGACTATCACTCAAACTGTTCTTTCCTACTGGATCCTGTGAGATTAAGTTAGATGATTTTTTATCAAGACTATCACTCAAAGTGGTCATTCCTACTGAGTCTTGTGAGACAGGGTTAGATGATTTCAAATCAAAAGCACCACCGGAACTTGAAGTTGGCTTTGCTACTGAATCCTGTGAGATTGGTTGTTGTTCTGAAGCAAGACCAACTGGAATAATTGAAGCAGAAGCGAGTTCTGGAGGTAAAGAGCTCACACCAATCGTAGGAAATGAACTTGATGTTTGTTTTTTGGAGTCAAGGCTTGCGCCTGACGTTTGAGTAGCTGTGGAAGAATCCAGCGGAGCAGTTTGGGTTGAGGTGAGAGATTTATCTGATGTAAGAGTACTTGGTAGAGTTGAGATTGAGGATGGATCACTCATATCAATCCTATGTGATCCTCTGGGATCACTTGTCTAGATGACTTCTACTCCCAAAAACCAAGTCATTCATGTTAGCTTCTAACCAAGAAAATGTCGACCTGATTCATATTGAAAAGATTTCCTTGAAAGATGGATCTGATCGTTGAAACTTACAAAATAGATATTCCTAATAAATGTCCAATAAGGCTTTTCCAGTAATAAAGCAATAATTTATCGATATACTCAAACGTATGAGATCTTTCACTAGAATAATATCAATCTAGTAAAACAATTAATAAGTTGAAGTTTCAAGAGAAGTCTCCAAACGATTAAAAAAATGATTTCCTGGTACTTGAGAGTTAATCAATCCAAATGCACGATGATAACTTGATGGAAAAAGATCGATCAAGTTGGAGAATGATTTAATAGTGATGAAATGATTTTTGACAAATTTTCAAGTCTCCAGGACCGACGAGTGTGCCTTCTCGAGAGAATGGTATGTATCTGATAGAATGATGAGAGAGAGGATGACCAATTAGATAGAATCAAGAATCCTAAAGGAAACCGATTAGAAAGATAATATCAAAGACAACCGATTGGATCTCTTAGTGAGATATGGATCATGTATGTAGACTATTAGGATGCCTGCTACAGTTGCAATATTAAGCGATTCTATTACTTTGGAAACCATTAAGCGAGCTTTGGGTTGTGAAGTTGTTACTTGATTAAATCCAGTGAGATGTGCTTTGACTAGTAGAGTCATCACATTGGCACGTTGAAAAGGAACATGACTGTCAATGGGACTTTGCTAAACCACCGAGGAAGATCGACCAAGACTTGATGAAGCAAATCGATTGTAAGTGATGGATTGGTTGATATCATGTTAAATAGTAAACTTTACCATTTTGTTTCATTCTTCTGGTTGCAATTCTTGCAATTCGGTGGTAAGCGAAGTCACACATTAACCCTCACAACGTTGTCTCAACATATTTTCTTTGGATCATTAAACCTCTTCGGTTGTTGGCACGAAAACTCAAACCAAATCACTTCAAAACTCGTTTTCAGAATGTATGCGGGTTAGTCAACAAGTCATTCGGTTAACAGGGTTTAAATCGTAGCTAGTGTTGCTCTCAATCACTTCTTCGTCACTTATCGTCTAGATATCGAGAGAATTTGACTGAGAAAAAAGAAATCAAGAAGCATTTGTAGAAGACTGAGTGATCCACTTTGTGAATCTCACATGAAACGAAAGACTGGTCTGTGATACAAGTATGTAGCAAACAAAAGTAACCAGATCACTACTAAACAAGGAAGAACATTACGTCTGAAGGGCCAGAGGTCAAAGAGCATCAGTACGGAAGCCGTGACGCGCCCCTCCGGTCTGAGTAACAACTACTGAGCATACCTTTTTTTACCTTGCAGTGTCGCAAAGCATGGTGTAAAGTTCAGTTTGTCGAGGACGAGGTTGGTCAATTCAAGTGTCGAATTACTTATGTACTAAACTCAACAAAGTCCCACGCTGCGTCTCGCACGCGAAGCAGCGTGCGAGACGCAGCGTGGGACTTTGTTGAGTTTATTATGTACGTGCGCACGATAATTCTACTTTCTCACCTTCTTCTTAACTCTGGTGGCAAAAGATATAAGACACCGTCCTTCTACCACCTGGAAGCTGACTCCACCCACTCGCTATCCACATCATATATACTCCTGGACCGGTTCCCCTCTTCAACTCCAATCATATATATTGAACCACTTGTCATCTCAAGATATGGAGAACAAAACATTGCTTCTGATTTTTCTTCAAATCTTCCTCATCTTTGGTCAAGCCAAGAGCGAAGAACCGATGACCTGCTCGATTTCCAGATATGTTAAACAAACAGGACTCGCGAGCGACTGTTTCTGGTCAGTCATCCATCTGAAGCTGACTAGCCTTCATGATCTTGATCCCAAAGTGATTGATTTTGTGACGTCTTACTGATTAACATGCTTTGTCGACCGATTTCGAATAGTGCGATCGCTTTCCTGTATGATCCGAGTTTCCCAGCATGTGCCATTTGCCGTAGTTGTGTAGTGAGTTTGATCATACGTTCATGTGAGGCAACCTGACTTACTCAACCGGACTCTATCAACGTCTCCTTATCAGGTCCAGCCACTTGATAGCAAGGAAGTCCCATTTGGAGGTCATACAAAGTATGTATGATTGTATCCGACTGATTTGATGATTCAGTGATTCTTAACATTTCCACAAAAAAATCTTTCTGCCTTACAGCAAGCAAGGTCAACCTATACCACCTTCCATCAAGCTAGCCCGAATGAATTCAGCCTATGACGCGGTTTTCCCGGCCGAAGGATATGATGGCGCCCCCGTTTGTGACCACTATGAAAGACCGGCTGGCTTGGTACGTTTGGATTTTATGCTTGATTTGAAAATAACCTAACAGCCAATTGATCCAGTCACCAATGTTTCTTTTACATAGCTCCTTGATCCAACTTATGTTCTGCATTCTAATGATATATATCCTACCTTTCTTCTTGGAATACAAGCTGGACAGGGTGATGTGGCTATGGCTTGCAATGCTACTCTGGCGGCGCAAGTTTATAAAGAAGCAATGTAATGATCTCAAATCCTACTGGTACAATGTGTTTCTTGTAATAATCTTTCATTGATCTTTGGCGTAAGATTGAGATAATCATGGAATCATGTCCAAAGGTTCCCCACCAGTAAAATGTTCTTTTCAATCCTCTTGCACTGCTGTCTTTGTTTAGTTTCTTTTCTAAATAGTGAGGTTGCACGTTCAATAAAGTTGAAATGTATATATATACGCGTCGGTGAGATTAGAAGTAAGAAGTTTATTGATAGCTTGAACGATGTTAATAAAACAAAGTATGTGGAGTTGTCGCTGAGAGATATATCACTACAATATAAACTTTTTCCATGATTTTTCACAACCGAACGGCCATATCCTGAGCATATTTCTAGAATAATTTCTGTTGAATCAGTAAAGAGAAATTTATTGAGATACCCGGGATCATAGTGGTAAGTTCTTTCTGTTGTTTACATAGTTTGAGTCTGACACGCAACTTCAAAGTCACTTCCAACTTTTAACCTTCTTTTCAAGTGAGACTTTAATCCATTGACACAAATATGCCTCTTTATTTGGATTTTTCACATCTTTTTTTTCTATCATAGGGGAGCGCCTCCACGCCCCCATTAAGGGCACACCTTTCAAAAATCACAAAGGAGTGCCCTGGCGCGCGCCAAATCAAAAACCCACACCCCCCATGTGACACTGCACACCTGAGCCACAACACCCACACTATGTACATATGCGCATCCAGCTGAGTAAATGGGTGACTATCATGTACATATAGTTCTGCTCAGCTATCTGTTTATCTGGATACATGAATTATATGTGATACATTCTGTAATTTTTTCACTTTGATAAAATTGTCACAAACATTGACTAGATATAACTACCTACTCAGGCAATACTCTTGAAGCAATCTGTCAGTAACAGAAAGGGTGTTACATGAAGTTTGGTCAATGAAATCACACCAAAACTTTGATTCAGTGTATGTAATCCATTTTCAATACGCTTTTGTCAAACTGAAAAAGTTACAGCATGTATTACATATGTTTCTCACATCCAGATCAGCAGATAAGTGAGTAGAATAGTATGTACATGATAGTCACCTATTTACTCATCTGGATGCACATATGTACATAGTGTGGATGTTATGGCTCAGGTGTGCAGTGATAGATCTTTTGATGAAAAACTACAATCTTAACCATTTTCCCATTCCCACTTGGGGACAATGTATAATGTTCACAGTGCTGTGTCATACAGAGCGGCTTGGATCTTGAATATCTCTTGAAGATTTGAAGAATCCTGAAGAGGCCATATTACCTCGTCATCATGTTTGATAAATTTTAATTCAAGAGATATCATCTATTGAATCTATTGACTTTCTTTCTTCAAATCACTGAACCATCTCTAGTTATTTGAGATGACTGCCATTCAACCGAGTGAGTCTCATACATATCTTAATCTCAACAAATCCAAATGCTGTTGTCTTTGGCAAATATTTAATTTTACAAAGCCATGACCTACTCCTCTTGTCTACCTCAAGAATGTTATTTAATCACAAATGTGACTTCTGATCCAAAATTGGATAAAAGGTTGTATTTGCTACTTCTTGCCAGAGTTGATCCATGCAATCTTGTGATTAAGCTGGTTCAGCTTGGACATGCAGAAGTAATGTTGACTGATTAGGCACTGGTAGAAATCAAACCAAGGTGAGTGAAGCCAGTGGTTGTCAATTTTCATGGGTAGATTGGACTGCTGTTCATAAACAAGATCCTTTCACTGACTTTTGCCTTGACTGCACCCTTGCTACCTTGAGGATAGATCAATCAGAGCTTAATAGACTATATCTTCTTGATCTATGAATACAGGAGCAGGTGTGTGCAGTCAGGATGGGGGCGCAAAAAAAATAATGTGCCCAGGCGCGCCACACGCCTAAACATCTCAGAAACAAGGTGGGCGCTCCCAAAGGCCTGTATGCCTCATAGTGAGAAACTGGGGCTTTCCACGTTTTGACTTTCTTATACAATCCATTTCAAGTTGTTTGATGAATCAACTTGAATTAACAATTGACCTTCAAACAATCCATCTTCTACCTCATCAGCAACAAATATGTATTTAAGGTTGGTTAAAATGCATTTCCTGAATTTTTTTCACATTTTTTTATGGTTTTTCATTTTTGTGTGGTGGAAGGCCGCGCCTAACGCGCCTGTGTTTCACAAAACGTGCCAGGGCGCGCCTTTTGTTTTAAGGCTGCGCCCCCATCCTGAGTGTGCAGATTCATGAGCTCATATGATGAAATTGGGATCTTCTGGTATAATAGCAAAAAGATTGTGTGAAATATTTTTGGAATCATTTGGAAATCCCGTTGAAATCCTGTTCCATTCCTAACTCAGTGATATCTGAGTGCTCACTAGTTGTGCTTGATATATAATTGACCCTGGGTGTTGCTTGATTCAGGTACTCCATGCCATACAAAAGATGCCAGGATTTAATGCCTGAGAGGTAAATTCAAACTGTTGTGGAATTGATCAGTGTTGTTCCTCTAGGTGATGAGTTGTTGGGTAGTGGTGGACACGCCCAGGTTACAAATTGGCACAAGATTGCTGGATTGATAGGGAGGAGTAGACCTTGGGGGATCTTGCAATCAAGAGCAAAGCTTTAGTGTTGATGTTGCCCAATTCCCATATAACAGGTAAGTCTTCACTCTATCTTCCACAGTCAAATTGAAGCCATCCGGACCCCTCAAGAACTCCATACCACAATCATTCTTTGACTTGGGTAACTGACAATCAAATTCTCTCAGTCTGCTTTGATACAGGCTCAAAAACTTCTCAGACAATACTTGATACTGACTCTGGCACACACAAGGGGCAACTCACTTGACTCTAAAACACTTGAGTCACAAGACGGAGTGTCTGTATTGCAATTACATCACTTGTTTCAACACCAATTGTAAGTCTACTGGTATGTCTATCAACAACTGATCACATAATGACCTCTTGTCCTTACCTCTAGACAGCAAATCTGCTAAGTTGTCTCTTGACTTCACTCTTTGAGCCACAACATCTGCATGTATAGAAATTAACAGCTTCTGGATTTCTTGCCATTCTCCACTCACAGGCCTATCACTAGATGTCTTTCTTTCCGCTGCATCTTGTGATGTTGTGTTATTGGTGAGTACCAAGAACAACTTTCCTCCTACCCTGTTTAGTTGACTGATCATAATTATTAGATCCTACCCTGGCAATATCACTACCCATTTGAATTGCCATAGAAAAATCTGAACTCATTACCATAATAAGTGCCAGAGGTTCAATCCCAATCCTAACCTCTAATAAATTATGAATTTTGATTGATTGATCAAAATATTCATTAAAATCTGAATTAGCAAGTAATTCTTCAAAAGAACCAATAGTCATTAATCCAATTAATTTGAGTGATTCACAATCTTGTTCAAGAAAAATTTGATAATAGTGGTGTACAAACCTACAACCCAACATGAAAACCCATTAAAAAAACCCATGAAAACCCAACTTATTTTGGGTTTTTATGACGGGGTTTTTCACATGGGTTGAAATTGACTAAATCTGATCACCCGTTAAAGTTTGTTGAAAAAAAGTCAAGTCCATGACTCCATATCAAACTCAACTACCCTTTCCTTATGTTATGATCTCACTAGGGGGTGAGTTTGGCGACGAGGGAGAGGGGTTCCTTCTAGCAATCTGGTTTAGTATTGAGATTGTCGGATGAGAGAAAAGAGAAGTCTGTACAACTGATTCTAACTAGACTACGCATAATCTCTATCTGTGACATGCGTCCCATCTGTTACTTGTATATCACATGGTTGAGTTATAACACCTTACCAACACAAGACATTCAAATCCTTCCACAAAGCAGTCACACACCCTCACCAACTCCCTCTCTTTCACTCTCTGTTCAAAACTCTAAAATTTCAATTGGCACAAATGCAGCGGGATCTCATTTTGGTTATATGCTGCTTGTCTATCTGATGTATGTAGATTTAAAATGATCTCAAAGATTAAGAAGCTTTCATTGGTTTTTGGTTTGGTTCAAAGAAATCAAACAATATTGTTTTATTTCAAAAAAATTGTCTATATTGACTTTTAAGACCTCAAGTGAAGCTTTTAAAACTACATCTGTCTCTTGGTCCTTGGTTCGGTTCAACTGTTGCAATGTGAAGAAATCAAACAATATTGTTTTATTTCAAAAAAACTTGTCTAAATTGACTTCTAAGACCTCAAGCAAAGCTTTCAAAACTACGATATCATTTTGATTAAAGAAACCAAAGGATGCTATCATCAAACAAGCAATTGAGTTGGGAGTTGGGGGAGGGGTCGAAGTCATGGTTGAGGTGGATGGAAGAAGAGGAGTGTGAAGTAGACTCAAGGTGTGAGCAAGAGATGACAAGAGCCGCCTGTTTAGGATGTGATGGGGGTTGGGGCATTCAAACCTTTCCAGGGCGACCCTTCAAAAAAACCTGTCAGAAAACCCCCCAAAAAAGTTGGGTTTTCATGGGTTTTTCACATGGGTTTTTGTGTTGGGTTGTAGGTTTGTACACCGCTAATGAAATCAATTCTGATGTATTCTTTACTGGATCTTCTTCAACTTATATTCCTGCTATGTTAGGTTCATTTGAAGTATTGATTTGAATATATATTATTATTATTTTGATTGGATTAGATAAAGCTTGAATTAACTGAGCTCAAGATTTATTCAGTGCGTCAAATTTTTCAATTGTATCTACTGTTTCTACTGCAAATAGATTTGGGATCCCTGATGAATGATAATCCAAATTTGAGAGTAGATCCGGATTGGTAGGTTTTATAAGTTATGAATAAGTTGGGATGAAGAATAATGCTCAGGACAAGCATAAGTCATAAAACAAGCCAATTTTGACTTCTCAACCAATTCCAAAACATAATTTTCACCAATATGAAGATGTTTAATCCCTTCATATAAGGATTTTACTAAAGGCAGCCCCCCCTTGTGAGGCTTGACCGCCTCCT